TCAAGAAGCGGAGAAGAGATATAGAAACTGAAGTCAGCAACTCAACTCTAGAACACCTCCAAGAATTCCTGGCAGATATACCGCTCAGCGAGGATGTCATTCTTCTCGGTGACTTTAACGCTAGAACTGGCACAATGGATGACATGATGTCTGACAATAGACACCTGAAAGACTACGAACTTAACGCCCATTACTGCAAACAGCTGACGAAACGCAACAACTCGGACCTTAAGCTGAACACAAACGGGCGACCCTTCATCGAACTCCTGCAAACAACTGGTCTAGTCATTCTCAATGGTAGGACCCTGGGTGACATTTTTGGTGCACCCACTTGTATTCAACGCCACGGTGTTAGCACTGTTGACTATATCTGCGTATCCACGAGTCTCCACGATAAAATTCGCCAACTCAAAATCGAGAGCATATCCCAGTACTCCGATCACAGGCCACTCTCTATGACTATCTCTACCAATCACCTAAAGAGGTTCTCTACCAGTAATGACACTAAAGACATCCAGGATGCACCCAAATCCTTCAAATGGAACAGATCAGAGAATCTCTCTGCCGACTCAGCAACCCAGTTTCGCTCGGCACAGAATGATCAGACATTTAAGGACAAAATAGAACACCTCCTTAACCAACCAGCGAACACAGCAGACGAAGCAACACGGCTCAATAGAGATTTGGTCGCAACATACCACAACCTTGCGAATTCAGTTACTACAACCAAACGTGGAACACGTACTAACAAGAAAAAATGGTTTGATCTTAACTGCAGGCGTGCGAAAAGTGCGGCTAGTAGAGCTGACAGGAATGCAAATCGCAACCCACACAGCAATTTCCTTCGCAATCAGCACTTTCTCAAAAAAAAGGAGTACCGGGCTATTAAGAGCACGAAAAAGGGGAAATATCTGTTCGAGATGAATCAAAAGATAAACGAAAGTGGTAATGTTAACTGGGCGGCGCTCAAGCAACTGTCCGAACAACACAAAGATGAAGAGCCATTTGACATTTATGATCTTCTCCTCTTTCATAAATTTTTTAACGACCTTTACAACCGTAAGTGTAGTAAGAATCACCACGCAGATGATGACGTCGTCTCTACTCCCACAACCGACGAGCTGCTGAACACTAAAAACCTAGTCGACAGTTTGAATCGAGACTTCACCTTACAGGAGACAAAAGATGCGATCAAGAAACTGAAGAACAACAAGAGTGTGTCCGATGACCTGATATCAAACGAGATGCTGAAAAACTCCAACGAGCAACTCCAACTTGTTCTAGTTAAGCTTTTTAATGCCTGTCTTCAGTGCGGAACCTACCCTTGGAACAACTCTATCACCACTCCACTCCATAAAAAGGGTGACCGTCAGAACCCCGATAACTATCGGGCCATTACCATTGGCAGCTGTCTTGGCAAGCTATTTTCGAACTTGCTCCTTAAACGGCTGATAGAATTTAGGGAAATAGCTTGTCCCGACCGACCGTATCAACTGGGATTCAGGAGTGGAGCACAATGTAATGACCACTTGCTCACCCTGAACACTATCATAGAGAAATATGTCAAAAAAGAGAAGAAGCGACTATTTGCCTGCTTCGTCGATTATCGGAAGGCGTTTGACAGTGTATGCAGGGATGCACTTCTGTTCAAACTGGGCAACATGGGTCTCTCAGGCAATTTCTTCACTTGCATCAGCCACATGTATAACAACTCGTCAACCCGAGTTAAGCTGATCCAAAAGCTCTCCGCTGCTATCGACGTTACCATCGGCACAGAACAAGGGCACCCGATGTCCCCTGAGCTCTTCAAAGTTTATATCCACGAGCTTTCCATCAGACTGGAACAAATCGAAGAGTTGAATGTCCCAATTTTAAACGGCATCAAAGTAAGCCACCTCCTATGGGCTGACGACTTAGTCCTCCTAGCACTTGACGCGTTCAGCCTACAATCGTTGCTGAATTGCTTGCACGACTATGCAGAAAAATGGGAGTTATCAGTTAACATCGACAAAACCAGTGTGATGGTCTTCAATACAAGCTCACGAACACTTAAATGTTCTTATGGCTTTAAACTAGGAAGCCTGGACATTATACCAGTAAAAAGATACTGCTATCTCGGAATCCAATTCTCTCTGAATGGATCGTTTAAGCAAGCTATCGACGAACTTAGGAAGAAAGCTCTACGCTCATTCTTCTCAATGAGGCGAATTATCAACACGAAAGCGCTCACTACCAGCACGATGCTTAAACTCATCGATAGTCTAGTAAAGCCTGTAGCGACCTATGCATGTCCCGTCTGGCTCTCATCAACAAACATCGTAAAGGCTATTCTGTCGAAAAAAGAAGAAGTGAGCCTGCCTAAATCTGCAGCTAAAGATCCGCTCGAAACAACTCATCTGAAGATTCTCAAATGGATACTAGGCGTTCACAAGAAAGCTAATAACAACTTCTGCTATGGTGACACTGGTAGAACCCCCTGGACAGTTACCGTCATTCCCCAATGTTTAGCTTACTTCCATCGGGCATCCCTGGCGGTAGAAGGTAACGTGAACACTCTTTTGCACCACACCTTTCAAGAGCAAAAGCTACTGAATCTAACCTGGTATGATGCGTGGTCAACTATTGCCAAGATGAGTACAGTCTCCAAGCCGCAGTTATCACCCACCCTAGACGCTTGTGAGTACATACATGAGACATTTGTTGACCATTGGAAGAGAGATCTCCTCAACCAGCCCAAAATGTCTTTCTACACAGCGGTTAAATTCGAGTTTGGCGAAGAACCCTATTTACAGCTCCCCTGCCGGCTTAAAAGGGTCAATATTGCTAAACTCCGATCTAGCAGTCACGATCTTAGGATAGAAAAAGGTCGCTACACCAAAGATCAACTCAACACAGCTCTTAAAACGTGTCGCTTCTGCTGCTCCTCAGAAACGGATGTCATACGTTTTTTAGAGGAGCTCCCCTTCTTTGAAACTCCTATTCTAGAAACCGAAGACCACGTCCTAACTGAGTGCCCCTACTACCATCAACCCAGGTCCGACCTCTCTGACAACCTCAAAAGCCTGTTGATGCTAAAAGAATATGGAGCAATAATGAACTCACTCCATATAAAAGAGTTCGGGAAGTACCTTACAGACTCCTCAAATCTACGTAATCCTCCTAAAACGTCCCTTAACCCTCGCAAACAGATGTAGTACTCGAACTTTATTTACTGGTTTACCTTAAATTATTATAGACGATCTTCTTTTATTTTCGTGAAATTGTAAACGGTTAAATTTTACTATTTTTAAATGATTCAGTTTTGATAATTTTATTTATTCATTTATTCATTTATTCATTTATTCATTTATTCATTTATTCATTCTTGTATAGCCAAGACGAGTCCGTTAGTGTTCTCTCTGGTAATTTCATGTTTAATCCTGTTTAATCCTGTTTAATCCTGTTTATGTATATATCCGTGCCATTTTACTGACACCTCGGCATCAACTTTAACGCAACTTTCCACAAAAACCGTAAAAGATATACAACTGAAACTTTTTTGACTGGGTCAAATGCTTTAATGGCCTTCAAATCAGCATGAAAAAATAAAAACTTGGCCAAGGAATAATAATTTTAGTGCCCAAAATTTGGACTCCCAAGTGGTGTCAAAAACGCGAATTAAATAGGTAATAATTATTTTAGTCTCTCGAGTCTTGACACCACTTTAGGGTTAGACGGGTTCCTGCTAGTTCAAATAAAAGCAAACCATCCCTAAAAGGGTACTTCGAATTTTAGGCTGCTCGCCAGCGGCTCAAACTTGCAACTAATATTTGACTAAACTCGACTATACTTGCAGAAAATTGTAATGCGGGCCAGTTTCTGGATCAGACAAATGGCTGTACAGACTGTCCGGCAGATGAATGGAGTGCAGCAGCAAACACAGCTACTACCTGCACTGCCTGTCCAACTGGAAAAGAGGTAGCCACTGGAAAAGGAACAAAAGAAAGTGACTGCACATGGAGTAAGTTGTTCTTTCCTAAAACTTGGAGGGACCAAAGGGATTCATCCTGAAATTTATGTTAATCTTAGAAATGCAATAATGTATGCGAATAAACATAGACTGAAATACTGACGTCAACAAGCAAAGTTTAGTAATTGTACAATTAGTACTACTATACGTTTATGGGGTCCCATCACAGATGCTCGAAAGGAATTCCTGTGAATCAAATGCAACTTTTGTATGTGAACACCCGCACACACTTTGACACTTATCCAATATTCAAATAAAAGCAAACCATCCCTAAAAGGGTACTTCGAATTTTAGGCTGCTCGCCAGCGGCTCAGACTTGCAACTAATATTTGACTAAACTCGACTAAACTTGCAGAAGATTGTATTGCGGGCCAGTTTCTGGATCAGACAAATGGCTGTACAGACTGTCCGGCAGATGAATGGAGTGGAGCAGCAAACACAGCTGCTTCCTGCACTGCCTGTCCAACTGGAAAAGAGGTAGACACTGGAAAAGGAACACAAGAAAGTGACTGCACATGGAGTAAGTTGTTGTTTCCTAAAAATTGGAGGGACCCAAGGGGTTTATCCTAAAATTTATGTTAATCTTAGAAATGTTATAATGTATGCGAATAAACATTGACTGAAATACCGACGGCGACAAGCAATAGTTAGTAATTTTACAATTAGATTGCAATGTCATTTTCTAATAAATTTTTTTTTAGTGTTTTTTACCCTTTGCCGGGTATATTTCGTCAATTTGAAAATACTGTATAGATAAACACTTCCAACAAATATTTTATTTAAAACTAAATATTAACACTCGCTGCACTTCGTATATACACAAAGCTAAAGAAAAACACCTCGTGCCCCTGGGGCACTGATTCTAAAATGTATACGTTTACATGCCGTTTATACATATAATTTAGATGCATTGCTAGTTATTTAACATTGTAACAGTCTATTCCCCGGAATAGCGGCGAAAATTTCACCTTCAACGAAAAACGTATATACGATGGACCCACACTCCATAAGTTGTACATTCAGTAATCACTTGGAACAGAAAACTGTAGAGTGGTCTACTGCAACATCTGTGACTGATTTGAACTTAGACCCGGACCAAGTAACTCAACAGGGCACCTCCAAAACGTCAACTTTACAACTTTCTAGCGCTCAATTGGTGAAGTTGAAAGCTGCTGGCGGTGATAACCCAGAGCACATATTTACTTGTAAAATATTTGCTGACCCTTCAAAAACTCCAGCTATCGCCACACAGACTGTAAATATTTACACTCCAGGTAAATTGATACTTTTGATCATGGTATTTGACCAAACATTTTGTGCACCTACTTGAGTACTATTGTTTTTCAATACTCAAAAAGAATTGATCCAATTAACAATTTTCATGATGACAGGACCCAATACATAATTGGAAACTACTTCTATTCTCAGTCGCTGCAGAATCAATGGAAAGCATTTACTCAGTAGACAGCTCTCATGAAATCAGCTGTGTTTTTACTGAGATTCTAAGTCAAGTAGATGTAACTTGGAATGTAGCAACAGCGGTGTCAGACAAAATGGGCAATCTGGATATAAAGCAGGGCACATACGACAAGACAATGTCTCAAACGTCAACGCTCACTATTACAAACGCTCAGATTTTGAAATTGAAAGCTACAAGTGCTACCGACCCAGCCCATGTATTTAATTGTGAGATCACCATTGGAACTTCAAAATCGGTCGTTACAGCATCACAGACAATCAACATATACACCCCAGGTAAATTATTGCTGTTCTATATTTGGCCACCTAAACTAATATTTGGTCAGATGGTGACCCATTTAACATACAAAAGCAACGAGAAATTGACCATAAAAAGTTCAAATATAGCAATAAATGCTTTTCTGTCTGCCTCTTTCTCTAACCTTAATTGTAGCCTTTCCTGAAAAATCTCATTAAGCTGTTCACGAGTTACAGACTTTTGAAGCTTAACATATAAATGTTTATGCGTGTTTCTGAATGAATATATTCATGGTTATCGTTCGAATTGTTCTAAAATCTATCTTTTGATATATGCACATAATAATTAAAAGATATTATAAGACAATCAAAATATACACCCCAGGTAAAGTTTTGGTCACCTAAACTAATTTTAGAGTTCGTCTTTAAAGCTATGATATTTTGTTAACATATTATTATTAACAGTCAATCTATAAGTCAGATGGCAACCCAAATAAGAGAAAATGAAAAAATATTGCAATCAAAACTTTCTGATCTGCTTTTGATTTGGTCAGACACATTTTTGAACATTGCTCATCTGTAAAGTTATTGAAATCTTTTAGGAGAAACTTGTTACGTACTAAGATCAACTTCCAATTCAGTCGCAACAATTGCTCCACCTGCTGTGGATACATACTCAGTGGATAACGCCCACACAATTACCTGTGTCTTGTCGGAGGTGCACAGCAAAGTAACTGTTATGTGGACCACCGCTGAACTTAATCCATTAACCAATATCGAGCAGGGCGAACACTCTGACACAACGCAAACCTCCAAACTTGAACTATCAACCGACCAGATCAAAGCACTTAAAGCTGCCAATGCCCAAGACCCAGCACATTTGATCACTTGTAAAATTACAGTGGGCGATACTCCCACTGACTATACAGCAACTCAGACTGTCAACATCTACACACCAGGTAGCTGTCTCTTTGTTTTGCCCAACTTGTGTTTATGACTTTGTGGCTATGATTTAAATACTATATTTCCAACATCTTAAATACACAAGGACTTTGCGTTCATCGTGGTGTCCATAGACATTCTACATTACTTTTTGTGGACGATATAATTACAATAACGTTTTATTCAGATGCGACAATCAAACCAACCGCCTTAGACGTTTACACTGTGGATCCTTATATAGTCGACTGTGTTTTCACTGAAGTGATCAAACAGGTTACTGTAAGCTGGATCATAGGTACCACAGTAGAAAATTTCGGATTCATCAGTATTAAACAGGGTACATACAAAGACCATTCCCAAACTTCAACAATGACATTAACAAGCTCTCAACTGACAAAATTGAAGGCAGCTGGTAAGAACGACCCTACTCATGTATTTACATGTAAAATCACTGAGGGTGATACTCCGACAGAATATACAACTACACAAACGGCTAAGATTTACACTCCGGGTAAAAAATTATTGGTAGAATAATGAACTGAATGATTGTTGGTATGATACCTATCACAAACATTATTTTTAGATCGGTTAATAAATTTCGACAAAATGGAATAACTTTTCAATTGGCATTACAAAATGAAATATGTACCTCAATATGTTGTAAAATTATAGCTGCCCATAGTATGCTCGTTAAAGCATACTATGGGCAGCTCTATTTTTACTATCACCTTTTGATTCTGCCTCTTTTTTCGATATCGATAATAATATGATATTTTCCTATTTTCAGTTGCGACTATCAAAATTCCAACCGCCGATGAATATTCAATGCAAGAACATGAAATAAGCTGTGAGTTAAGTGACGTGCCAGAACAGTTCCAAGTTGACTGGAGCACATCGACGCAAGCTACTAATATGGGGGGCTTGGATGTTGATCAAGGAAAACAAGACGGCACTACACAAACTTCAGTGTTAAAACTTTCCAGTGCCCAGCTTGTGGAATTGAAAGGTGTGAAAGCGGATCACATCTTTACATGCGCAATAGATGTTGGAAAGGGAACAGTTAAAACCCCTGTTACTGCAACTCAGACTTTAACTATCTTCACACCAGGTCGGGTTAAAGTTTAACATAGACATTTTTAGCGCCATCGCCGCCAACAACGCCTCTTACGAACTTGTTAGAGGGACAGGTTCATTTCAATTTCTACAAAAAGGTTGAGATCTACCTGATGTTTTGACCTAACCCTCAGTTTTGGCATAAGCATTGTAAAAGACAAGTGTTGAATTGTATCCTTTTTTATTTTGACTTTGGACAATTAAAAATTATCATTTTTATAACCAAAGCAAAACGCGTCTTTGATATTCCACCATTCTTACAGAGGCTACGATTACACCAGCGACCAGGAGTGTTTTTACAACACAGACAGCAGCTATACAATGTGTTTTAACAGAGCTTCTTGGTGAAGTGAACACTCAGTGGACAACGTCCACTAATGTTCCTGATTTGGGGTTAAATCCCTCAGATGGTTCTATCCAGGGCACGACTCAACAATCAACTGTACCACTTTCAACTATTCAACTAGGAAAGCTCAAGACAGCAGGTGGAAATGATCCAGCTCATATCTTTACCTGTAAAATTGTTGTGGGAGATAAAAATACAGAATTTACTGCAACTCAAACAATCAATATCTACGATCCTGGTAAGCTGAATTTATAATTAAATCTATGACAAATACAATGTATATTATGTTACATATTGTTAATTATATGTATTTAATACATATAATTAACAATATGTAACATAAAATTTTTAAAATTTGGTAGACGGCCCCAACGTTAATGTGGCTCTTGCTATGTGTTGGTTCAGCCGAATTAATTATTATATAATCAAGTTTATTTTTCTCGTTAGTTGTCATCCGGCCAAACATTAAGCAACTTATATTGCAGTACCATTTATCATTTAGTATATCAAAATATGTCATTGTAACTTTGCATGGCTGAAATGTAACGCTTGATTTATATATATAATGATTAATTGAATTTTCAAATAAAATAAAAAATATGTGCAAAGTATAAATTGCTACGAAAATGTTCTGCTCTATTTCGGTGATGGTAATTAGAAATACTTGCTCATAAATCAAGCGTAATACCCACTTCTTAACTGAATTTTTGTTTAACTGACTTATCTACAGTGAAGTACAAGGTTACAGTTTCAATACTAGATGGAGCTACCGCTGGAACAGCTGATGCACAATACATCAAAATCAAGGGAACCAACGGAGAAACTGATGAGTTGCAATGCGATACTGACTTTAATGTAAACGATCAAGACGTTACTTGTACAGTTGAAAGTTCAGACGACATCGGGCATTACGAATGTGTACTGTGGAGGACAGCTGGCACCGACGATTGGAGCTTTACAAAGGTTATTAAGTTATTAGAATTAATGTTTATCAAAGGAGGGTTCCAACTATTTATTAAATATATATATCATTTTACCAAAACCCATAATCATGAGTAGAGTGGACAGCTGCCAGTATCTCTCTTTCCCAAACAAAAGGAAATGATATTAATTTATAAGACCGTCTGCAAATGCAAAATGATACCGAGAATGAAATCGGTCGCATATATCTTGGCTCTCATGAGCTGCTCTGGAAATCGACTTCTCGTTCACAATACAGGGATCTAAACTAACAGAGTAATGAGTGTCAAAGAGTTGAAATAAATGAGTTTTTTTTTTGTTAATTCTGCCAAAATTTCCGGACGTCCGGATTTTCAGAAACCACCCCCTCCCCCTGTCCGGATTTGTCCGTCATTCCAAAACCACCCCCCTTCCCTATTTAACGGACGTACTAAGAAGATGGCCCCTTAGGCTAATAATAGTTGGGCAGCTGGCACATCGCAAGTTCGACCGATGCATTTAAAACGTCTCATCAAGAATTTCATCCTTTTTCTCATTTCCAGACATTTTAGTTGGTTCGACAAAATCAAATTATGCTTTGATCGACTGAAAAAGGTAGTACATTGATTGACACATGAACTGTTACTTTTACATCGTAAATATTTGCATTTACTACTGAAATATTATTATATTCCCTAGTCATAAGGACAGTAAATTTAAGTTAACAGTGAAAAAAAATCTTATCTTCGAATACTTGCACCAAAGCTTTATAATTATTATACAGCTGCAATAGACATGACCTGGCTGAGATGGGCTTTGAGATTCATCTACTGAACTTCAGTCTTCAACCCAAAAGTGTATAGCCCATATAATTTTAACCCAACTACAACATCTATATTAATGATGGCCCACTCATTCATAAGCTAACAGTGAAATGTTGCAGCTTAAGATGTCAATTGATGATGAAGATCAGCCAAACTATACACCGTTCAATGCAGATGGACACGAAACATTAGAAAACAGTGAGACAAAAGAATTTTGTATCGGAAGTAAGTAACTGGAACCTAATAATAAATATGTGCACCCGAAATAATCAATTCTTTAAATAAAATCTATCTCATGTGTATCAAACAGTATTAAAACATACAAAAAGTAGTTCAAACTTCAAATAATAGTTTCCGGACGAAAAATACCATGCTTACAGCACATCATTCGGGGACTAAAATTTCACTCATATTTTGCTCCTATACGTTTTTATCGAAAGATCACATTACAATGTTTAATTCATTACAATAAACAATTTAAATTCGGATGTTTAGTGGCTACGATAACACCTCCGACGGTGGACTTGTACACAATGGACGACAATCACGTGATTACTTGCGCCATAGCCCACATCAGAGAGAAAATAGTTGGCGTTTCATGGACTACAGATTCGAAAACCGACAACATTTACAGCCCTGAAGACGGTACTTATTCCGAATCTGCATTCACTCAAAATTCAGAACTGGCCCTGTCAAGTACTCAGCTGACTGCCTTAAAGGATGTAGCTGATACTGTAACATTTACATGTTCCATCATTGTTGGAGATAACAATAAGAAAGTTTATGCAACCCAAACCATCAACTTGTTTACTCCAAGTAAGTTACCTCGGTGATTGGAATTTATCCGCGAAGACATTATTTGAATCGTTTCACAATGTACATTGATGAGTATCCAATGTAAAAAGCATCTATGCTAATCAGATTTGATTACTGAGCTAGAGACTTAAGTTTAATACAATTGCCGTGATTTTAATTCCGCTGAAATAAAAGTAAATATTATTGCAGGTGTTAAAATAACCCCGACAACAACGACTGTTTATACAGTAGACGATCACACTATCAGTTGTGTGATTGATGGAACTAAAACTGTTGTCAGTGGAGTTGCTTGGTCAACCTCCACAGCAACAAGTCTTTCCTTTGATGGACAAGATGGCAATCGTGACGCTCAAGGTTCACAAACATCAACACTTGCACTATCAAGTGCACAACTTGCAACAGTCAAGTCCGCTGGAGGGAGTGATCCTGCCCACACATTTACCTGTAAGATCACTTTCGGTACCGCAGAATTTACAGCCACACAGACTATCAGTATCTACAATCCAGGTAAAGTCAAATAGTTCTAGTTCATATTCTTCGCTATAAACACCTTCATCTCTTGCATCTTAAAGACTATTCGCTTCCTTTCAACGAGTACAACAGCTCAGGTTTCTATGGTCTATCGATATATGTTTTTTCTTTATTTAACCACTTTTCAGCTGTTGCCATTTCACCCTCAACTGATATTGTGTACTCAATGGACTCTCATTCGATAGACTGTGTACTTAGTGACATTCCAAGCCAAGTAGCTAATGTGGCATGGAATACCGCTACAAATGCTGCGAACTTGGATTTAAATCCTCAAGACGGAGTAATCCAGGGATCCGCCCAAACCTCAACATTATCCCTTTCAAGTGCTCAATTAGTAAAGCTGAAGGCAGAAGGTGGTAACAATCTAAATCACATCTTCACGTGTAAAATAACCGTAGGAGTTTCAAAGACAGAAGTGACAGCGACACAAACTGTCAGTATTTACACCCCAGGTGACTCCACTCTCATAAAAGCGTTGACTATCGATCATGTTGCAACAAGAAAATCTCAATACGCTAAATTAAAGATAAAACATCGATCCAGAAATTAAAGAGATTATGATAACATTTAGATACATTTCCACATATTTTTTCGCAGCAAAAAAGGTACAAATTTTAATTTACCAACCGTCCAGGTGTTGCAATCTCACCTACTTCCCTCAACTTTATCTCTCTGGATACACACACCATTAATTGCATCATAAGCGATATCAATGCTCAAATAAATAAAGTCGAATGGACAACTACAACTAAAGTCCAAGACCTAGGACTAAGTCCTCAAGATGGAGTTATCCAAGGAACAACACAAACGTCCACATTAGCTCTCTCCAGTGCTCAATTGACCAAGCTGAAGAGTGCCGGTGGAGGTAACCGTGAGCACATTTTCACCTGCAGGATTGCAGTAGGGGACTCTAGCACACTTGTCATGGCAACACAATCTATAAACATTTATACTCCAGGTAGGAATTTCATTGTTGCAACAATATATTACAGTTTGAACCAAAAGACGTGATTCAGATTAAAATTAATTTTTCGATATCATATTATTTGAAACTTATATGGGGCCACTTACGTTTGACCATTTGAAATTTGTTTCATCATCTAAATCAAAACCTATAATCAAACTTTTATCTTTGAGTGAATCATTTTCAGCTGTCGCCGTTTCACCCTCAACTGAAATAGTGTACACGATGGATTCTCATTCTATCAACTGTGTATTGAGTGACATCCCAAGTCAGATAACAGATGTAAAATGGAATACAAAATATGATGCGAACCTCGATTTAAAACCTAAAGACGGAGTAATCAAGGGAACTACTCAAACCTCAACATTATCCCTTTCAAGTGCTCAATTAGTAAAATTAAAAGCAGCTGGTGGTGAGAATCCAGGTCACATCTTCACGTGTGAAATCAAAGTTGGAACTAAAGCATTTACTGTGGGAGCAGAACAAACAATTAATATCTACACCCCAGGTAAACAACAAACTTACATATGTTTCAATAAATATACATATGTCTCAATAAACATACATCTCAACATATATCTATTATTTCTTTTTCGTAATTTGTATTTCAACTGTACAATGTATTGATATGCTACCAAGTACATGATCATATTTTAAGTCCATCTTAAGTCAGATTACCTGATAAATATCTCAATTAATTGAAATGTTAACATCTATTCCCATGATAAATCCTGACTCTTACTAATCGTTCATTCAGTGGCTGCGATCGTTCCTCAAACTGATAATGTGTACTCCATGGACTCCCACAAAATCAGCTGTGTTCTAAGTGACATCCCGAGTCAAGTCAGCGGTGTGGAATGGGTAACGGACTCAAATACAGCCAATGTTTACAGCGCTGAAGATGGAACTATCGCAGGAACGTCCCAAACTTCATCATTATCCCTCTCAAGCACCCAGCTGACTAATTTAAAAAGAAACGGAGACATTACCACTTTTACTTGTACGATATTAGTTGGTGATCAGAAAACTGCAGTGTCAGCAACCCATGCCCTTACTGTATTTGCTCCAAGTTAGTATTCGTTCACAGTCAATGCGTATTCTTAAAGTGCTGTTATAACCCTATTCTTTACTCCATTTACGTGTTAAAAATAATGACTCGCAAATATAAATAGAATAGTTCAAAAGAATAGCTATACCGTCGTAGGCCACCCTAGCCAAGCCTCGCAAGATAAAGCAAAATAAAGTATAAAATTGTATCAGAATATACAATTAAGTGATTCGTTTTCTGCAAAGTGTTAAAAAAGATTAAAACGGGTAAAAATTACACCATCTAGGTGCTGCTATCTCGCCCAAATTGGTAGATCTGGTCACTGGAAGCTCACACGTTATCAGTTGTGTGTTAACTGACTTGAAGAGTCAACTCAGCACCGTACAATGGTCCACAACTTCCAACACCAATAATGTGTATAGTGCTACAGAAGGAGCTTTCTCTGCAAAATCTCAAACGTCTACTCTGAGTTTATCAAGCGAACAGATAGCTGCTCTGAGAAGTGTCGGCGCTTCTCACACCCTTACTTGTGCGACTACTGTGGGAGATACGAAATCAACTATTACAGCTACACAGACTATCAATATATCCTACAAAGGTGGGATATATTAGTTGCTCTCTTTATTCATCATGTTCTTATTTAGTTATTCAGTGGGTCCAGGGGTGTGATTTATGAATGATAACCCCTGGAGATATCCTTTATTGATTGGCAATTGTTCTAAGTAACAAATCGGCCTTTCATCATTTGGTATTTCATTTCACGACAATTTCTTCCAAAAGACGGAATCCAAAGTCGTATTGGCTAGTAGTGGGGTTACAAAAAATTAAATTAGTTTTATTTTGAACTGTTTGATTTAAATGTTTAATCCCTCAGACTGTGTACTACCGAGTGTAAGCAAAATAAGTTTGTTAAGTGGGGGTTCACTCAACCACGGAAATTTTGTATCGAATCTTGCTTGTGATCAGTCTACAATCGCTGGCAAACCTAATCTCCTTATCGGAGGAACAAGCGTGAAGTGCAACGACGGAAACCTGGAGTATTCTGGACAATCTACATATCAGCCACAATGTTTAGGTAATATGAACAAATTATTTGTTATTTGACCATTTTGTTGAATGAATTTGGATTTCTGTTATCTGGACAATTTCTTTCTTCACTTCCAAAACTTTTTGAAACAAAGTATTTTGATAATTAATATTTGATATTTTACCAGACTTATTTTCAGGAAGTAAGTATTGAACACCAGGCGTAAATTTTGTGACATTACCTGAATTTTGTGAATCGGCTAAGGGGGGTTCACCCTAATTTTTTGTATAACTTGATTTCGAGATAGCAGTGACCAACAAACTAGGACCCGTAATGAAGCTTTTGAGGGGGTACCGCCCGGACTACAGGTGCTCGCAGGTACCCACGGGGCGGCTATGCCCTTACTTAGTTTCATTTCGGCTCAGTTATAATATCGCGAACTGAGATATTGGTGATTTTGTTCATCTTTGGTGTTTGATGGTCTTTTTATACTTATAGCAGAATCCACATTAGAGTAGATATTGAACAGATATTATCATAGAGACCGTGTAAATTAAGCTTACCTTTTATATGAAAGTATGAAGTTTGTTTTTATTCAAAAATATTTATTTTTTTGCTCATAACTCAGCCAGTTTTTTGCCAATTTTTATCAATCTGTAGCTGTGTATGAGTATTTTAATGTGATTTGTTATTATTCAGCTGAAATAAGACCAAATATGGGCATGGCTGCCTCTAGGGCACCGGTGGGCGCCCGGAGTCTGGGACCCCAGAAAAGATTGGTCACGGGCCATTTTTACGTTTACGTAAAAATGGCCCGTGACCAATCTTTTCTGGGGTTTACAAACTTATTTAAATTTCAAAAACGTTCTTATTTTTGACCGTATGGCGTGATTTGTAAGGCACATACTATTTCTATTAACTTTGAACCATTCACTAATTATTTCGTAACCTTGTTTTAAATCAAAGTTGCCAACAAACAGGACCCTAAGATATTGAAGCTTGAGGGTACGCCGACTAAGTCCGCGTCCCACGGGCTAGCCCTTACTATCATTTCGGCCAGTTATAATACGCGAACTAGAATTGGTATTTTTTCACTTGCATGTTGTGGCTTTTAATACTTATAGCAATCCACATAGATAGATATTGACGATTATATTATCAGAGACGTGTAAATTAAGTATATTTAATATGAAGTAGAATTTGTTTTTATCAAAATATTTAGTTTTTGCTCATAACTCAGCAGAATAGATTTTTGCCAGTTTCTATCAATCTTACTGGTAGAGTCAGTTTAATTGATTGTTATTAATCAGTGAAATAAACCAAGGCATGGGCCTTAGGCCCGGTGGCGCCCGGAGTCTGGGACCCCAGAAAAGATTGGTCACAAGCCATTTTCACGTTACGTAAAATGCCGGACCACCACATCCTATTTCTATTGACTTTGATACATACTGATTAATTGCGTAACCTTGTGCACTAATAAAATATCATTCCATCATTCAGTGACCGATAATATGGCCCCCGAGAGGATTCTAATTGGTGAAACTTCCACAATAACCTGCAAAGTTGGACCTACACCTTTCACGATTACCTCTCTGACTATGAGCATTGGCGACAAATCTATTGGAGTGGATAATACACCCACAGTTATGAAGGGGACTGCTGCCCCAGGTATGTGGAATGCTGCAGATTTCCAAGATATTGATAATAACTCAAACTGTAAATGACAGAATCATCCATTAGTCGGCATGCATGTGTATTGTGCATAATATACATGGGTGCCTGAAAATGCAGTTATGATGCATTAATTCAGTTCAGGGCTTAATTAATATGTACAAAAAAACTGCTCTTGTTGAAACTAATGGCTATTCTTACAAAGTCTTTGCAGGTAGTACAACGAACTATTGCCCTTCAAGCCACCCATATGCTTTTAAAAGCGGGGCCGACTGCTGTGCCCACCCGGCTGAAGACAATAATGGAGGTGTTGCTACTTGTGACGGAGGTCCCATAGGTTATGATAGTACTTGCTGTCTCAACTCTGCATCAGATTCATGCCCTTCTGCTCCCTGCAGAAACTATGGTCAGTGATCTGTATCTCTTTATCTATGAATCAATTTCTTGATCTAAGCTATTTGTTTAATTTCGAAATTGATATTTGAGTACTTCGTTTCATTTAGAGGAACATTCTATAAACCATGTATATAAGGAGCTTAATTTATCCGAAACTGTGAAACTGGTATGTAAATAAGTAGTATACACTTTTGGAAATAGGGCCTCACAAACTTTGTAACAACAATTTAGATAAGGAAGTCCCTCCTTGGTTGATAATGATTGACTGACACACAAACCCTCTTCATATTTTCAAAAATGTCACAAAACAATTTCTATTCCCAGAATTACGATGTAAATCTTCCATTCAGGTCTAATGCCAGAGGCTCAAGTCTTTTCAAGCACAGAATTCACGGTGCGTGGAAGTGAGGAAATCGATAACAAGGATGTCAAATGCACTTACACAGTTAAGGACTACGGATACACGGAGTCAACGAAAACCGTCAAATCGTATTTAACTGGTGAGAAAACAATCACGCTAATTTAGTAGATATGACGCATCCAATTTTGTAAAATAACCGAGGAAATTTATAATTCGGTAATAGTCAATATAATGTACGTTACGAACATGTATATTTTTTCAGGCATCAAATCACACAAATTGGACTATCCTGGAAACTACTTTGAAAGTGACGCAGAAGGTGGTGAATTCACTGAAGATGCGATTCTCTTTATTGAGGTTTCACAGCTGGCACAAAGAACAAAAATAGGAATTAGCCATGAACCAACCCTTCCTCTGTTCACATTAATTGCCAATCACTATGATAATATTAATATGTAATATGTATTAGAATATCAGTTCTCTGCGACAGTATTCATAACCGGCATTCTACAACACCAACCATGACACCATTATAACTTTAACTCTGAATAACAATTTGCAGGTGTACGTTGCAGATGGCGTTGATAAGATAGATGCTAGCTGGACGGACGACCAGGCAGCAACAGTACCTTGGTCCAACACATGGGTTAAGAGTGGTGTCCAAACTGGTATCACGGTATGTCACACGTGAGATGTTTAAATGATTTAAGGCTCATATAAATGAAATGAGTGAACATAAGTAGTAATTTATTTAACATAAATAATCAAGCCAATCTTTTCAGCAAATGTATAGCTCAGATGTTCCCGAAGCTTTGAAGAAAGTTGGAACCATAACTGTGAGCGCTGAGTATGCTCAAACAGCTAAAGCAGATTTCCAATTCATATTACCAGTGAAAGGTATGAAAATAGCAAAGCAGTAACAGCTTAAAGGATTGTAAGATCCTTTAAGCTGTTACAATCTAGCTAGCGATCTGATGTTGGCTTATTTTTGTATTTTGTTTGTTCAAAATCCATGCACGTCTCTCTGTAACTATTTATATAATATAAGGAGGACAAGTGAAACAAAGGATATAGTAACTAACCGAAGTTTTGGTAAGTATTTGCATATGACAAGGCATCAACTCAAATTACAATAGATATCCGAATGTTAACATTTAAAGCTGTGAACATTAATATCAAAGTAGAATTTTTAAAGAGTTAATATCCTTAGAGGATAAATCATTTGATCAAGGTCATAAATCCGTTAATATTTGTAAGCGTAGACACCGTCCCACTGAGGATCATAAGGCTCCATCCAGAACTTTCTGAAGAGATGCACTAGCTCAGGTCGTTCAAGTTTTCCACTCTTGTCCGTGTCAGCTTTCTCGAAGAAGGTATAAGCAGCTTCCTGGGGTACATCAAAGGCTTTCATCATCGTCTTCAGCTCATCAACATCAACAGTACCATCACCGTCATCATCCAGGACATCGTAGTAAGCGTTGGACAATAGAGCAATCATAGAGTCTTCACCACGTCGCTCCCTTTCTCTTTCAGCCTCTGCAAAGACTCTGTTAGACTCAACCCAGTTCTCTCTGAGCAGCCCATTTTCTGGATGCACTCCCTTGTTGACGAAGAATTTGTGGCAAGCAGCCCTCATCTGCTCGACCTGTTCGTCAGTAGCATTTACCAGTTGCCTCATTCTGTCCGGCCAGTAGAGGATTTCATCGAGCTCCATTTTACCGTCACAATCCAGATCGAAGGTGTCAAACCTCTTGTAGAGTCGGGACACCATTTTTGGGTGGAGATCCTCTACGTTAAACTGCCAGTCGTTACCCACGCTCCTCAGGTATCTGTAACTCTCGTTGTTGGTCTCGTTTAGACCTGACATCTTGTTGTTTTTTGCTAGAATATCATGATATTATTAATTAAAACAGCAATGTCTTACAAGTAAATGTCTAGATTCAAATGAGAAAATAATAAAGACAAATTTTACAGCACAAAGTTTTGACAATCAATAAGAAGTGAAGTACTCTAATGTATTAGTTATTCAACTTGAAATACGAATAAAAAGTATAACTATACAGGAACTATATAGGTACAGTCTTAGTTAACGAGTCGCAGAATTCTTCGCTGTTCTAGTGACAAGCGAAGGAAAACCTGAATTGTAATTCTGAGTGACTCCAAAACGCACTTTTATACTATTCGCTATAATTGAGTTCATGATCTCATTACCTCGAATTAATTGATATTCCATTTACGTTAATAATCTTAGATTACCTCTCATTGTCGGACTCAATATCATCAATGGCACAATCACTAAACTCTAATTAATCTGATTAATTTTCTTATTATTAGCTAATCAGGACAAAAACTAGATTGTACTGTAGATAAATGTTGATAAATTTCTGGTTTCCAGGGCCATATCAACCGTGGAACACAGCATGTAACCCAGTGGGTAAACACTATAAACTAACCCACCTTTAATGGGGGTGGGATCCTAGCCACAGAATTCATCTGTTGGGTCAGCATGGTCTATTCTCATTCAGCTAACTGAATCAAGGCAGTACTACAGTAGGTAGTACGTTTTCGATTCCTTGGAGTCCTTGGACCTGGATTCTTCGGCTACTAAACATGGCATGAAATAAGGCTAGGATCCCACTCCCAGTAATGGTTATATTATAAAAATTGCAACGAATCAACTGGCCGGTAAGGTTAATGATTGTGAGTTACACACTTTCGAATGTGTGTAAGACAGCGTGTTCAATTCCCGCTCTCGGCACATCTGACCCCGACGTTTCACGAAAACGTACTACCTTATCGCCTTGTTCAGTTAGCAGAATGAGAATAATGAGAATAGACCATTCTGATCCAACAAATGAACTAAACCACCTTTGAGTTCTCAACAAACGACTCTTTTATCACTACCATTACCAACTGCGTCAATAGGATCAACTGCTTCGTGGAACCCGAAACACATAAATGATTCAAACAAGACAGACAGTGTAAACGGTGCTACCCTGGTCACTGGTGGCCTTATGCTTTGCACCTCTGAAAAATTAAAAAGCCTCCGCTATCTGGAGCCTCAATAAAAACGTTTCAATGATTTCTTGAATTTACTATTGAGTATTGATCGCTCGAATTAAGAGTCAATCTTCATTATCTACTAACATATTACTATTAGTATTACTAACACATACTATAAGTTGCTCACCACCACCACAAGGTCGAAATAAATGCTAATTAGTTGAATTTGTCCAAGTGCTGACAAGTGCTCCTCGATTTAACGCAATTTACCGCGGAGCTTGGGGGAAGGAATCCTCTGCGGTAAAGTAGGGCCCGTAGTATATAACTTTTCATGCATTTCAGAATGGTAATTTATAATGATATCGTTACCTTTTGTTTGAAATAAAAGGAGACACTGCACACTGGCGACAGTCCAGTCTACTCCACTTTTGTTGATATGCTTCCAAATACGTAATTTTTATCTATAAATCATGACAAGACCATTCTTTCAGAGTTCTGCAAAATCGCAGATCTAACGATAGTAGAAGGTGGAACTTGGAGCCCTGCAGAGAAGGTCGATTTCATGTCCTTCGCTACCCTGACTTGTAAAGACAATTCGTATATTGAGGGTGATGGTTTGACGCAATGTGTTGGTAAATTAGGCACGGACGAGAGTATGTTCGACATCACAACTTACCCCAAGTGTATCGGTTAGTCGAAAACACTTTATTTACACTTTCACCCGTCCCCAGTGCAATGCACAATACACATTCGTTGATCGTATATAGGGAGTATAAGTCAGAATAAAGATTAGCCAGCAAAATGCTAATGCATTTATGCTCGTAATGGAATCCACGATTTAATATCATCTTTTAGAACGTAAAACGGAGTTGAAGTGTGGAGAACTGAAATCAACCCCTGATGGAAAGGTGGTTTTCGGAGCAAATGACACCGCTCATTATGTTTGTGACTACGGCTATAAGCTGGTCGGAGAAAATAAGGTAATCTTGTGATATTGAATGTAAAATAGCATGTACATAATTATACTGGCCGATTCATACATAAAATTTACGCTGGCACTGCCAGACAAAATATATCATGATTAGCCAAGAACGTCTCAACTATTTGACAATAATTAGTATCTTCCTTATTTTTTGGTATCATTTTAACTCGTTGATTACCTTGAACCCTTTTAACTAGTATTTATTAAGTGCAAAATTTCGCTAAATTTTTAAGCAACAAAACCTTTGTAACACCTAAAAATGATGGCTATTTTGAAAATATATTTTCACAGGACTATTCATGCGACAAGGAAACTGGACAGTGGTCTATTATAACGGCAGAGAATCCTGACGGAGAGCCACCGATATGTCAAGGTTCGTTACTCTGATTAAAAAACCCCTTTATTTTACAAAAGTGGGGGAAATTCCCCATTTATTTGATGTTAAAAATAGTATTTCCCTTGAGTTTTGCTTGTCTACTAACTTTGTTATCTGGAAACTAGAATCTACTGATATATATTTGGCCTATCCTAAGCTGTTTTTGTGTACAAAATAGTGTACTCAAGAAGATTGTAGAAACAAAAGAAAGGCCAGAATATGACATTGACGTACCGGGTACAAACATTTCGTCTCTGACAGCCTTTCATCATTTGATGTTAAACTTGTTTTTTCCCCTTTTTTTCTTCTGTTTTAAACTTTAAAAATTTTCAGAGATTATCGCTGCCAGTTCGAGGAAAGCATCTGTTGAGCTTTCAATGAAAGCTGGAGGTGCAATTAACTGTCAAGATGCTACGACTCAGAATTTGGTTGGAGACGGACTTAAAAACAAATTAGAGGCCATTGGAAGTCTGCGATGTACAACATCTCTAAACTGTAAATTCGAAGACTTCTCCTGCTCTTACGACACAGCAGCAAGCTCTGTTACCCTGAAATTCACACTAAACCAGATTGCGAATCTGATGGACAAAGATATATTAGACGGCGATGTGGAGAAGATAAAGGCCAGCGCGGTCGCGAATAATATAGCATTCGAAATTAACACTGCAAGGAAACGTGCTGTTATTCCAATGAGTGAGGCCGTTGTAACAAAAGCAGAGACTAAAATGGTATGCCCAGCAAGGTCTATCATGATCAATGATGAGTGCATTGTGTGTTCACCTGGTTACGAACTTAACAGTGCCAAGGATGCATGTGTGATTTGTAACTTCGGATCCTGGAGTACAGGGGGATACATTTCCTGTAATCCGTGTATTAACTCCACACTAACAACTCAACTGATGGGAGCAACCAATGCCCTCAGCTGTATTCCTAAGACAGATATCTGTGTGGTTGGTGGTATTCTCAGTCTCAACGGCAATCTCTTCCCACCCACAGGGTCAAGAGTGATGCAAACCACTATTATCACAGGCGTTTGTCCAAGTGAAACCAATCAAGAGTTTGGAGTAAGCGACCGATTCTTGTGCAACCAGGAAAAATATCCTATTTGCCACGGTAAGTAGTTTAACTGATGTGGACGACAAATATTCATCAAGCATTTGTCGATGGAACTGAAAGAATAAAATGTTTATACCTATATAAATGTTTTTATGTAAGCTTTTCATATATGATTAATATCGTCAACTTGATTTCACGACCCCTAAACCACTTTCAGAAATGTGTAATTTGGCCAAGTATAATAAAACTGATCTGGAAGACAAAAACATCAAGAATGATTTCAACAAAAGGTGGATGTATCACAACGAACCTATCGAAATAACCTGTCTGGACGATTACGAATACAAGGAGGGCAGTAGACCCGAATCCAAAACTTTTACTTGCCATAATGGAGAGATTGACATTGGACATTGCAAAAGTAAGTACATGCAATTGCAATCAACCATTTTAATATAAAATATTGAATAAGTATAATACCGACGATTTCACCAGAAAGCAAACATTCATATTGTGATAGTCTACGATCTACGATCGAAGCCTCTCCAGTATGAATAGAAAATAACCCTACAACATCATATTATCAATTTCAGAAATAGTCGATGAAGTGTTGGTTACAGTAATAGTAATCATCGTCATCATATTCTTTGCATTCTTCGTTCTTGTCATATTGTTCATTCTAAAAAAGAAAGGAAAAATCCAAAAAAAGAGGTTTGTAAAGATTTTATTACATAATTCCGCCTTATAGCGACTCAATAATTGCTCATTTAATAATAAGATCACAAACTTTAGCTTTAAAATTGAAATAACTGGAAATTCCATTTAAAATAGCACTAAAAATCAAAAATTATTGACATGACGTTCCCAGCAACAGGAAAACCCAAGAAATAGAAATGGGAAGCAAACCAGCAAGAAGCACATACGTCGTTGAAAACATAAGTCAAAGTGGCGTTGTTGGAACAGAAAATTAGATGCCATGCCTTTTTTAAAGGACTTTGATCAGTTTTTATCTATTAGAATTTAGATAAAAACTGAATTATCTTATTCCGGATTTTTATTGATGCCATACAAAAAATAAAAAATAAAAAAACGAAACAACTGAGTTTGCTATTTTTGTGATTTCTTAAAGAGTTTATATTAATTTGTTCTTATCAGTTTATAATTTTCATAGTTAATCATTGTTTTCATAATCAATTATTGCATATTCAACAGATATGCAAATGTAAATAATAAATATACAATATATTGAGCAATAACAGTGATGTTATCACATCTTTCGTCGCGTAAGTGTATTTTAATAAGCACAAGTATGACGTATTGTATTTTATACCGCTAAGTGTATTTTAATTTTATACCGCTAAGATATTGAGACCCTCGATGACTTGAAACTTATTGTCATATTAACGGTAACTCATTGCTAAATCTCATATTTTATTAAAACTTTTAATTGACCTTTCTAGTTTTCTTCTCCCCCCCCCCCCCCCCCCCCCCCCCCCCCCAAAAGTATGCAAACGGAATGTTCATATAATAATAAATATATAATTATAAATGGATAGTGAATACTGATAGTAAAGTTGCATGCTCAATGCTACATAAACATTCATTCAACTAAAAGCTTATAATAAACAAAATAACTAAAAATGACATACTGCAGCTTTCACTTTCAATCGGCAATCATTTACATTTTTGAAATTCATCATTATCGTCCACGTCCTTTTAGTTTTATCATCAAAAGATTTATCAATATCTGGGGACCCCAGGCTATTATGTTCAATATAATATATATATATATAATATATATAAACATTATAGTAGAGGCTCTTACGGGCAAATATCGCACTTCTCTGCTCGAGCCCTGGAACTTCTTTTAGGGTTCTTATATGATAGAATGGAGTGTACTGAACACTCTGACGGTATCGGGAACCTTCTAGAGCCTTCAGAAGCTGTGTTGTGAGCACTTTACTGCCAAAACTTCGGACATCTACAGACACCGGAATATCGACTAAAAATTTTTTCTGAGTTGTTCCCCTAATTTCTCTTAGGTTGCTTAAGCCCCAGAAAGTGTCAGATCGTCTAAATATTGCTCCATTCCGGTGTCAAAGACCTCGAAAATTTCTACCTCGTAGAACGTGTTGCGCGTCGTATGTAGTGTTTACAATGAAAAAAGTGCACTTAAATCTGATTCGGTTGCGGCGCGTGACGTATCTAGCACGATATTTGCTCAAAAGCGCGTCACTGCGCCAGAAACCTCGTGGTAACGTAACACTGTAGAAATAGATAATCACAAGAGACACAATAAAAGTATCATCACTATGCAAAGTTAATGTTAAAATGATACAATAGCCCTGCTTTAACAGATTAATCCACATAAACACTATATTTCTACAGATGCCACCGATCAGTAAATCGAACATAGCTGATAGAATTCGTTTCTACATTGAAAGATTTCTTTTCTAATCTCCTTTATGAGTGCTGTCTTTGTTAAAGTGTTATCATCTCTATCCGCATCTATTGTTGCGGCAAGATTAGATAAGATCCTGCTGTCGAAACAAACTCGTCTTACCGACATTGTCTTTCTGAAAACTGATGTGATCAGATTAAACATTGCTGGAGTTTGCAGCGTTCTCAGATAAACTAGACGTCACATAGTCATTGTACTTAAGCTTCGGGTCAGACACGAGGTACAGTTCTGGTAAAACATTCTCCTGCTCCAGTTAAAAGGTACGTACAGCGTCAATACCTGCACTCATTAATGCAGCATTGGTGTTGTCGTGCGTGGACACGTGTCTTTCCATTTTAAAACCTGCCTTAGAGACAGGTTTTAAACTTACAGCTTCAGATAATTTACCCTTCAATTGTTTCACCCTCGAGTTGCTGTACCTCAAACGACATGTTTTGTGATATCTACCTAGCTTGCTATAGAGATATTTTCCGAGACTCTCAGAGTTAAGAACAGGGCACTTGGTCATGTGCGAATCAGGATTAACATCGATGTTGCACAGATCCTGAAGATTTCTGTAGATGTCCACAGATAGTATGTTGCGAAATCGACGAAGAAACTTTTATCTTTTCCTTGAATCAGACTATCCTTTTTCGTTTCTAACGTCTAGGGAAATTCGTATTGTTAAAGAAGAATAACCTCTCATACTCTTAAAATTAAATCTAGATAATATGTATAATAATTATATTTGCGAGCAAAAGTTTCACACAAACCTGTTCAACCTGGCATATGAAACACAAGTCTCAGTCCATTTCAAACAAATCAACATCTGGTCCACTTGATTGGGAACTAAATGAAGAAAGTCTCTACATTTTCTTAGTTCTATTCGAGGAGGGTGACAAAGGCGGGACTTTTTCCACTTGGATGGCAATAGCTTCTTCAATCTTCATCACAAGAGGATTCGTCAATTTCAGAAACAGCACTGTACACCTGCAAATACTTTATTACTTCCCACATTTATATCAACAGTATCATATCGGGGGGGGGGGGGGGGGGGGGTACCAATGGCATAAAATGGCATAAATGGCATACGTTTTATGGCATAAATGGAAATTTTTATTGGCCAATTCTCCATTTATGCCATGAATTTAGGTCTTCATATTGAAATGAAATGAAATGAAATGAAATTTGAATATTTGACTTTAAATTCGCAAATTATTATTAGTACTTAAATAAGAGACATGTTTCATGCTTTATAATGCTTGGAATGATCGTTAAAGATTCATATGACAAATAAAGAAAAAAGAAATGTATTATATCAAAAATGGCATAAATGGCATACGTTTTATGGCATAAATGGAAATTTTTATTGGCAAATTCTCCATTATGCCATTTATGCCATTGGTACCCCCCCATCATATCACATAAGTTTGAGATCGTACAAGTGTTATATCATTTTAAAAGTTTGCAAATCCGATAGAAATGGATTAAAAATTACTACTCGCTGTCTATTTACCTTTGAATAATAATGTTTTTAAATGTTAGTAAAACAGGAGGAAACCACTCACCCTGTTATAGTTGTCTTTTACATAGTTAAGACACTGAATACACAAAAAAGAGGTTTGATTTGGTGAGCACAACCCAGGATTGATCTTCTGCAGCAGGGCGAGGAATTTTCTAGACTGTTTTGTCATTCGTTCACTTTCAGAGCGGAAGAAAACTGTTTCATTAAAATCCTTTATTTCAATTCGGGTACAGATACAGCACTCTAAAAATTGATGAATGGTCACATTTTTGTATACCCTACGGCAAAGTCTTATGTCTGTGGTAAAAGAATGATATTCTTTAAATAGTTTTTCATTAAAGCCTAAACTTAACTTCTACCAATTCAAAATTGTTTACGTCGGTCTCCCCTCCTTGAGCCACTTTTCACATAGCTATTGAGTATAAATCACTCTAGCACAAGCAATTTCAAACCCCCTCCCCTAGGCTGGATTAGGTTATATACAGTGAACTGTGCTCTAGTGCATGATTGACTTTACATAATGCAGAGCATGCAAAGTTTTGATGTTTCATAAACTTATGAATAAAGTTTTTAAAATCGTGACATAAAAAGCAGTGGTCGCCCGGTGCCCCGGCCAAAATCACAACCCCCAGCCCTTCCCGGCCCCGGCCAAAAATTGGCAATTCGCCGGGGGTAAACCCCGGCCCCGGCCAATTCTCAGTGGTCAGCCCCGGCCATATTGGGGCTCCCCGGCCCCGGTCAGAATCCTGCCCCCGGTCGACCACTGATAAAAAGTTAACTCACTGGATTTGTCCAAAAGCGAGAGAAAGTACTGAGAAAGCACTTATACGTCACCACCAGAGGGCCTAGAGAGGTTATCTTTGTCTGTTTAATTGAATATTGAGTATATAATATGAGATTTAAGATGAACATGATAGATATAACGTCCAAATTCTAAAGTTCCACCAAAATTGAGTCACATTAAACTTGGTGAACACAACAATTTTAGTTCTTCATTATAGTAGGTGATTTGACATAATGAAGTGTAGACTAAATTATTATTTATAATAATTACCTGTCGGAGGGATTTAAGTGTTCCTTTGAACAGTCCTTTTCTGGAAGGTTGAGAGCTTTCCATACATCCAGAGAGCCAAATTGGATTTGTCCTTCTTTCGGGCATATGCAATCTTTGATATGATGCCTTGTACATTTTGAAACCCTGCAGTTATCATTATTCAATACTTATAGAGCCTATAAGGGGTTAGGGGTCGTTCACATAATATTGTGTAATTGCAATATAGTAAGGTTACTGTACATTTCCAACCCTTTGTCATGTATATCACAACAGATGATGTTAAAAGCATAATAATATTATGATACAGTTTTACGGTTTTTGTTACGTGTTGATAATCTAGCTCTTATCTCTATTTTATCGCTACATTACAACTGCCATTTTGCTGGTACTGTGTTTTTACTTTATACAAGTACAAGTAAACGATGGAGGAAATGGATACTCTTCAAAGATTGTCAGTTTATTCTACCTACATTACTGAAGAGTATGAGGTCTATAACGGTTGGATCACTGAACTCGCGGAAGCTACGAACTGTTAGGGACAATAAATCTGAGTTTTCAGTTGAAACGTTCAAAAAGCCAGTGAAGTCAGTTTCAGTAAAACATTTGTAATTTGTATTCTGCGTATCAGACTACCGATAATCATGTAAGTACCAGTGATCGACCGGGATCCCGGCCCGGCCCCGGATACGGCCGGGATTTGTGTTTTTCCCCGGCCCTGGCCCCGGCAAAACAATTTTCAAAATCCCGGCCCCGGCCCCGGCCAGAGGCCCCCAATCCCGGCCCCGGCTTTTTGTCAATTTTTGCCGGGATTTTGCCGGGATTTCTCGTATTTTCTGCCTCAATTTAAACAGATAGATTATCAGAATTTATCTTGATTTTTAGACTTAAATTAAACACAAAATTTTCGGTAACATGAGATCGAGTGAAAAATATAAATACGAGGACTTGACATCATTCCAGTTTGATATTCAGAAAATTTCAACTTTGAATTTACAAAGAATGTAAAATATTAATGTTGATTAAAAAAGTTCGAGGTTGATTAAAAAGTTCGAGGAAAGTCCTGTGTTTGTGTACCGTTTTCTTTCATATAACTAGTACAAAGGTCAAACAATTTAGTTCAGGAGCAAAAAAACAGTAGAGAGTGAGGCCGACTCAATGCAGATGATGATGATAGTCATCATATCACAGATGACTACTAGTTTCCGGTGTCAGCTTCAGTGTCCGAATATCTATGTCCGGCTACAAGAAAGCCTTTCTGAGTTACATTTAACTATTAAAGAGAAATAATCCTTTCTCATCCTTTAAACATTGTGTAGCTGCCTTCTAGGTTGACCTTGAAGCTAGCTCACATTGATACGAGTTTCCGGAAACTTTCAAAAATTTTCAAAATTAGATTAAAAAATCCCGGCCCCGGCCCCGGCATATTTTAGCAAATCCCGGCCCCGGCCTTGGCAACATTTCAGAATCCCGGTTAATCCCGGCCCCGGCTGATTCAACTTGGTCCCGGCCCCGGCCCCGGCTAAATTTCGTCCCCGGTCGATCCCTGGTAAGTACGTTTCTGGATAACAAGAAAGATATGGAGGAGTTGAAGAGCGATCTTATCCGATCGCAAAGTACTGTTATCAAGCTGCAGGCTGAACTTCTGGAAACTAAATCGAAGCAGACACTGTCCAAGCTGAGATGAAGTCATACAGTCAAGCTGTGACTAAAAATGCACCTGTGCTTGCAGAAGAGAGTTTAAAAAAGGTTGTACAGAATGCTGTATCGGAAGAGGATCGCAGTAGGAATGTGCTCATCTTTGGTTTGAAGGAGACTGATGAAGAGGAACTGTGCAATATTTAAGTTACCGTGATTTTTCAGCAGATTGAAGAAAAACCACGTTTTGAAGCTATCTGGGTTGGGAGAAAATCAGCCAACAAGACGAGACCAGTCAAAGTTTCGCTAGGTAATTCTAACTTACCGTTCATCAGATATTAGTAAATGCCAAAAAGCTGAGACTGTGTGAAGATCATAAGACTGTTTTCATCTCTCCAGATCGATCACCTGAAGATCGAGCTATCCATCAGCGGTTGGTCTTGGAAATGAAACAGATAGCCAAAGCAGGCATGGCTCCACCGTGTAGGTTCGGGTGGGTGCGCACCCACCCAAAGAATGTTGCACCCACCCAAACGATTTGAAAATGTTCACACAAAAATTGTCAAATTTTGTATAAACTAAGGGTCAATTGACTTCTGTAATCAATTGAGACTGTTTTGGAGATATTAAAATACGTTTAGGAGAGTAAAATTCCAAAATTTTCCAGGGGGCTTCTCCCCCCCCCCCCCCCCCCCCCGCCGTGCGCCAAGCTGCACCCACCCAAAGATTTTGAGCTGGAGCCATGCCTGAGCCAAAGAAGACACAAAAAAAACATTATTATATCAGAAGTGGTAATATTTGTAGCGAGGAGAAGATGTTAGAGAGTGATACATAATAATGAGTGATATACGTCCATAATTTTTTAATTTTGATTGTTGTTATAAGCGGGATAAAAATAATTTATTTCATTTGTATTGGACGGGACATACACAAAGATGCTACGCATGGTGCTGGGTATCTCATGGAAGGACAAGGTCAGCAACATAACTTTGTATGGTAGTCTACCAAGGCTTTCAAACAAGTTACGAAGCAGGAGACTAAAAATGGCGGGACACTGCATCAGACATCCTGAGCTACTTGCCAGTGATTTAGTCTTATGGAAACCTATGCATGGTAGAGCACAGCAAGGCCGACCAAGACAAAACTTCTTGTCTATGTTACTGAAGGAAATTGGTACAAACTCAAAAGAGGAACTGTGAACCCTGATGCGGGACAGGGATATATGGAGGGGGTTATCTGGCGTAGATCGGACTTAGTTCCGACAAAGTAGTAGTATTTCATTTCATTAGTAATTGCATTTTGTTGCGTTTTTGTTGCTCCCTTATCAGCAATTTTTATTTGAGATAAGACGTACTACTCATCACTGTGTGTATACTGTACAGCCTTCAGACATTATACATATACATACTCATACACGGAATTTGTGAAAAATGTCATCCAATCCGATTCCAGATTTTGATGAAAAAGTAAAACTTATAATCGGTAATATGCTGGCCAAAGCCGATAAAGTGTCAAAAACTGTCTTGTCGGCTTTTGATTCATCCGAAGATCGCGAAGCGAACGCGAAAGTATTGGGCGGATCTCGTTTTAATTCTCAAGCCCTCGACATTTGTGCACAGTTTCTTGACATCGACCTTGTAGATAAAGATAACGATCGAATCTTCACCAACAAACCATCGCTTGCTACGAGGATTATTCTAGAAATTCAGTCCTATTTTCCAGCCATGTGTGCCGGCTGTGACGCCGAGTACTCTGTTGAATTTGATTCTGAAAACAAGTCTGCATTGCGATGTTTCTTGTGCTTCCAAGGTTCTCACCACTGCGCAGCCTTTACTCCCTCCGGTAGCTCCCCTTCCTCCCCTATCGGTACCGTGTGGCTGTGCCGCTCATGTCACAATACCAACAACCCAGCTAAACGAAAGAAACCAAAGTCCAAGAACGCCAGCAAAGCCAATTCAAAGGCACCATCTGGTGCTAATACTCCAGTCAGTAGTTCAGCAAAAGTGACTTTCTCTGCCGAGACATTATCTGAAAAGCTATCAACTGTCAGCCAGCTTCAGCAGAAAAGCGAAGAGGAATTATCACAATCGACTGAAAAGGAGTCAAGCTCCGTCACAAACACCAGCACTGGTATTGTATGCGAGAAATTCAAAATTGGCAAATGCCCTCATGGCATATCAGGTAAAACTGAACAAAATGGACGAGTTTGTGACAAAAATCATCCCAAATGGTGCTACCGTTTCGCGAGAAATGGTAGCAAGGGAAAATACGGCTGCAGAAAGGATGACAAGTGTATTTTCTATCATCCGAAACACTGTCCCTCGTCTGTCTCTGACAAAACTTGCTTCTCCGACAAGTGCACATTGGTCCATCTCATTGGCACAAAGAGGCATAAACGTTCAGATGAAGAATCCTATAGACGGACAGATGAAGACTTCAAACGCAGCCAGTCCAAGTCCAACGACTCAAGACGTAGTGCTTCTAACCGACAGATGAAAACACCTCGTATGAGTCGCAATGAGTCCCAAACTGAAGCTCTACAGGACATCGGACATTTTTTAGAGTTGCGATCCCTTCTGACATCATTTCAAGAAACCTTTCAGAAGGAGATCAAGAGCCTAAGGTCCGAATTAGCGAGTCAAGAGAGCAAACTTACATCAATTGTTCCGAGCCTCAGTCAACATCATGTGATCAAACAGTTTCTTCCCCAACATCCCCCAGGTCACATGCCACCATCATTTCATCAATACCTTCCCCCTCATCATCAACAACAGCCGCACCCGATCCAGCAGACAACGAACTGGCATCAACTTCCCGTGTCTGGCTGTTAAATGTACAATCTTTCAACCCTAGCGCTTCCAGTACATCTAAGTGGAAGGTCTCATATCTAGCCCAACAACTCGCCGAGGAACACGCAAAACATCACTGTGTCCCATTTGTTGTCCTAACAGAGACCTGGCTGAAGTCCTATATTGAAGATGCACAACTTGAAATTCCTGGATATTCACTGTTCAGAAGTGATAGAAACGCTAGGGTTGGCGGGGGAGTTCTACTCTATTCACATGACCAACTCCCCATTACTCATGTTGAGACATATGATGACCAAATATGCCAAGCTCTTATCTGCAAATGTGAACTGACAAAATCTATTATCTGCGTGCTCTACCGTCCACCTAACTGTTCAGTATTCAGCTTCAGATCTTGTCTTGATTTTCTTGATAACTACATTGCAGGCGAACCTGATGGTTTTGAGCTATCAATTTTTGGTGATTTCAACCTTCCCCGTATAAACTGGTCCACTCATACTGTTTTACCAGGGGGAACTGTCTCGTCCATGGATGCTACTGCGCTCCTTCTTGATTTTATGGCTGAAAACTTGTGTACACAGTACATATCTCAACCGACTAGACTAGAAAATATTCTCGACCTCTGCATCTCGAATTCTGAAGAGCTTGTTACCCACACTTCTACATCAGACACCATCCTCTCAGACCACAGACTTGTTGAGATTTTCTGGTCTTACAATCCTTGCTCCTTCACTACTCCTGATCCGCCTGACTTTAAAGAACTATCCTTCAGAAGTCTTGATTTCTTCAAAGCTGACTATGATTCAATCAGTAATAAAATCAAGTCAGTGGATTGGGACGCTCTCTGGGAAGCTAGCGAGCCAGAGGTTTTTCCGGAGCTCTTTACTCAGACTGTCCATCAAATCTGTGTAATATATTGCCCAAAGAAAATTCCTCCCAAAAACAAGCAAGCATCACTTGTCCGGATTCCTTCTAGAAAGAAACGCAAGCTTCAAAAAGAACTTCGTGATGCTGAGAACGACGTTCACTGCCCTAGTACTCGTTTGAAATCTCTTCAAAACAAGCTTGCTTTGGCCCACATAGGAATTCGTGATGCTATTAACAAGACCCTTCAGTATCGCGAAGAGCAGGCTGCAGCAAAAGTAAAAGCAAACCCGAAGTACTTTTATAGTTATGCCAAGAAGTTTTCGAAAAAGAAAAGGAATATCAGCATGCTATTTGATGAGAACAGTAACATCCGTTCTCATCCTAAGGAAATGGCAGACCTTTTACAAAACCAGTTTCTATCCGTATTTAGCGACCCCTCCAAAACTGAGTTAGACGCTGCATCATTCCCTCCTCCGGATTTAACATATCCGTTTACGGATCAGATTCTGGAATTCTCTATCAGTGATGTTATCGAGGCTATTGATGATATTAAGCCAAATGCTTCATCTGGTCCTGATGAGATCCCAGTTGCTCTACTTAAGAATTGCAAAGATGCTATGGCGATTCCTATCCATCTGATCTGGTCAAAATCCCTTGCATCTGAAGAAGTACCTTCATTTTATAAGTACTCCCACGTTTCTCCGCTCCACAAGAAAGATAGCAAGGCGTTTCCTTCCAACTACAGGCCCATTTCACTCACCTCCCATATAATCAAGGTGTTTGAGAGAATCATAAGGAAAAAGCTAGTCTTACATCTAGAAATGAACAACTTGCTCTGTAGCAAACAGCATGGCTTTAGATCAGGCCGCAGCTGCCTTACACAGCTTCTCCACCATTTCGACGACGTTTTTGAGTCATTAACCAACAAAGCTGACTTTGATTCTATATATCTTGATTACGCTAAGGCGTTCGATAAAGTTGATCACAAATTGTTGATCAGGAAACTTCACCTCTATGGCTTAAATCCAAAAATCATCAAATGGATTGAATCTTTTCTGTCAGACCGGAAGCAAGCTGTAGTGGTCGACGGCCACTTGTCATTTCTCGCTCTGATCATCAGTGGTGTCCCCCAGGGAACAGTCCTCGGGCCGATCTTGTTCCTTATTTTCATCAATGATATTGAGCATTGCATAACTGAATCCATCATCAGATGCTTTGCAGACGACACTCGTGTTTCAATATCGGTAACCTGTGAACAAGACGTATCTGTGTTACAAAACGACTTGAACAGTGTCATAAAATGGTCTGAACGAAACAATATGGCACTACATAAAGACAAGTTTGAGTACATGTGTCACAGACACAATCGACGTAGTGCTCTCGTCGAACTTCCTTTTGTTAGTGAACTATACCAGTACTCAGTATCCAAAGACAAGTCACTCGCACCTGTAGGTCAACTAAGAGACCTCGGGGTTCTCGTCTCCAACGATCTATCTTGGCAACCCCACATCAAGACCGCAGCAAACAAGGCTCGACAAAAAGCTGCCTGGGTTTTCAGTGTCTTTCAGACAAGATCTCCAGTCATAATGCTTACGCTTTACAAGTCGATGGTTCGTAGTTTACTGGAATACTGTTGCCCGCTATGGCACCCCTCCAAGATATGTGACATCCAGGAGCTTGAAAGCGTACAGAAAGCTTTCACCGCAAGGATTACTGGAATGCGTGATCTCCATTATTGGGACCGTCTTCAACGGCTATCTCTGATGTCTCTACAGCGTCGCAGGGAGCGGTTCATTTTACTTCATATGTGGAAGATTTTCCATCACCATACCAGCAACGACATTAACGTGCAGTTTGTCTCCAGGCCACGTTTTGGAAACCTTGCAGTCATTCCATCTGCATGCAGACACAGCTCAGCAGCAAATCAGTCACTGTATGATAATTCATTTGCAGTCATAGGCCCAAAATTGTGGAATGCAATGCCTTACCATTTGAATTCCATCGGCGACCGAGAGCATTTCAAATCGCAGCTCACCCAGTTCATGCTATCTCTTCCGGATACACCGCCCATCAGGGGCTACACTCCTCAGAACTCAAACTCGCTGCTTTGCTGGAGGAATGACAGAGAGATCTCCTCTCTGTGGGGTGGTCACACAATGTGATGGCCCTGTTAAAGCTTAACGAATCTCAACATAGGTGACATAGGTAGGTGACATTTCATTAATAACCTGCATAGTTGAAAAGTTGATTGATGTAGTTTCGATAAACAGGGCGTCGTTCAACTCCACTCATTTCGTTCCAAGCTGGAATGTAGTATTGTTTAGTGTAGGTTTGTTAATGTACCTCTCATCATCAAAAGGTTTCAACTTATACAGCATCGATAACATCATCTAAAAAAGCTGTTTGAACAGCTTAAGATTCAGTTAAAATTACATGATTCAGATACAGTTTGCGAAATGAAACATTGTCAGCCTGTATTTAATTAATTATAATAATTATGGTAATTTAGCTAAAAATCGAACCATTTGAGTTTTCATTGTTATCAAAATAATGTCGATCTAAATTCTTCTTAATCTGCATGGCTGTGAGCGGATTGAAGTCTTTTAACAAACCACACAAGCTTCTTTCATCAAGAAGATTCTTGAAGTGATCCGCATGTACACAGAGAACTGTCTTAGCTAGTTCTGGGTCCATAAACATGTCACCTTCTTTCTAATGGTGATTGTCAAGTTTGTTCAGCAACATAATTCAGAATTACAGAAATTATTTGAATCTACTAGAGATGAAATGGCTTAAATAACTTGGCAATATGCTGCAATCATGAATTCAATGCAGCATCTATACATTTATTCGAAATTAGTGATGGATGAGGGGGTTTAAGTCAGGCATTCCTGACATTTACTCTACTACTATTTATAAATTCAAAATCATGTTAAGAAGATAGCAGCAACTAATCTATATTATTCACCGTGCTCTATTTTATGTGTACTGAAGAGTGCCTTTACAATATTCCACTTTGTGGTGTAGATTTCCTCCATATCCAATAGGCAACACTGAATGAGTGATGGATGAGGGGGTTTAAGTCAGGTGTTCCTGACATGTATTCAAAATTGCATTGAGAAGATAGCAGTAACTAATCTATATTATTTACAGTGCTCTATTTATGTACTGAAGGGTACCTTTACAATATTTCAGTTTGTGGTAGGGTTCCTCCACATCCAACAGGTAACACGGAATGAGTGATGGATGAGGGGGTTCAAGTCAGGCATTCCTGTCAAAAGATCTATAATTAATCTTGTAAGGGTACCACACAGTAGACATCAGCAATGTGTGGCTGTCTGCGCGGCGGGCTGTGTATTGTGTATATAGCTGAATTTAAATTTAGATTTATTTGTAAATGTATAATAATATTAAATATGTATTGATTGTTTTGTGGTAAATAAAAATTTTGTTTTACTAAAAAAATTTTGTTTTACTTATATTGTTGATTGTGAACCAAAAGTTTATTCATACCCACAATCGATAAATTATAAATCCAAATAGTCATATAAGCAATGCAATACTAAATTTGTGAAATTGTATTAACAAAAGGATATCAGCCAAGTTAAGGTATCTCAACAATATAACATTGAAGTATTAGAAATGGCACTCTACTATTGCTGACATTAACATTGTTAACTCTTGAATGATATTATTGAACGATTCTACGGTCAAAAATACGTCTTTTAAGATGGGTCTGGTGATTTTAGTGTATCGAGCAGACAAAGCCCGTAAGAGCCTCTACTATTATAAACATCCGCCAAATAAAGATTCGGCGGAATGACAGGCTGAGCGCCGCCCAGTAACAAAAGATACAACTTTTTCCTTCGTCATGGCTGGTAAATTTGTTTTGATGAAAATTATGATATATAGGGCAAGGTTACTAAGTTAATTTCAATTGACAAGTCGCCATGAAAAACTGATAACAATAACTGACGACAAAAAATTTTACTTTGTGACCATGTTAAGCGGCCAGGTAGCGCAGTTGGTTAGAACGCCTGTCTTACAATCGTTAGGTTGCGAGTTCGAAACCCACTGACTGCCTGGTCGTGGGGTGAGCGTCGTCGACGTTCAGCTAAGGATCATGAGTGGTCTATGCAGCCCCCCGGTCTACTCAGCCGAATACTCGAGAAATCGGGTGTGAGGGTTAAATGAGGAGCTGCACATTGCAGCAAAGTCTCGGACGAAGAAAGTATGGTACACACTACCTTAACCGTCACTGGCCAAAAAGATCCTTCGGCTTCCTGTAATTGGCTGGTTGCACTTGTGTAACATTGTGGCTGTTGGAATACACCGAAGTAAAATAAGTGTCTAGATAAAAAAAAATGTACATACATCAAAATCACTGGGCCGCGCTCAGCCTTCACCTAACCATGTGCTTTCGCGCCACTGCGGGCGCGCTTGTTTCACAAGTCAAGAAAGTGAGGCGGGCGCGCGCTACTGCAAGCGCAAGGGCTCTGGATAGAGCAACGCTCAGCCTGTCATTCCGCCTAATCTCTATTAGTATTAATGCTAATGTAATGTTAATGAATATGATAGCCTGACATGAGGCCTCCCCAGGTAACCGTAAACATTGCAAGACAACAAAAAATTTCTCGAGCCATAACGGCGTTTATATTATAATTACAACACTACAAATCAATTTTCATTTATTTAAATATTATATTAACAAAAGGTTTGTGTATAATGTTAATTAAAAGGGGTCCTACTCCCCCTCAATCCTCAAAGGGAGTTTCATTTTCTCAATATTATTGATCATGAAAATCATCTATGTTCTATATTCGGAGGTGCACGATAAAAATAAACTTTCACAGTACCAAATTGTTCATACCTTTTTAGTCAGTGTAATAAGCGCCAAGCGCGAGCACAGAACTTTTTTCTCCGATTTCGATAAATTTGGTACCAAAATTTGTCTAAACATGTGAATAAAATAAATCCACCGTGTAGCAATTTTCGCTAAAAATGCTACACGGCGCTTGTTCGCCGCGCGTGCTTTTTTCGCGCAAATTTTTAGTTTTTGGTCTATAACTGTCACATTTTCAGTTATTATCACATAATTATTATGGCATCGTAATCAGCTCATCAAGACGAAACTTTTAGTACTAATATTTTAAGATTTAAAGGAAATTTTTTTTTCAAAATTTTTCAATCTGAACACAATTAAGGGTCCCCCATTGTGTGAAATTTTGAACAAATTTTTTTCAAAATTTGGTGCTTGAAATATTTTAATTTTGGTACCAAAAGTTGCGTCTGACTAAGCTCATTACGATATATACTGTAATAATTATTTCAAAATATTCAATATTTTAGGAGTTATAGGCATTTTAAGCAATAAATTACCCATTTTTCGTCCTTTGTACATTTTTGTAATGCACCGGAGGCCCACATATAGCTCGACGTTATTTTGCTACACGGTGAATTTGCATTATTCACACTGAGAGGCAACTTTTCGTACCAAATTTATCAAAATCAGAGACAAAAAGTTCTGTGCCAACTCATGGCGCTTATTCATATTACATAAACTATTTTGTAATGATCAGTGAATTTTTTGTATCACGCGGTGACCCCCACGGTCGCTTCACTATAGTGTAGCGTCTTCGACGCTACAGGGGGAGCCGCGCACTTCGTGCGCGGCGGGTCATACAACGTATGACAATGAATTTTGACTTTCGCCTAGGTGCATGCTTGTCATACGTTGTATGACCCGCCGCGCACGAGTGCGCGGCTCCCCCTGTATCGTCGAAACTCTACACTATAGTGAAGCGACCGTGGGGGTCACCACGTGATACAAGGTGCATGCTATGTGCTAGGTGCCATATTTGATGGTGCGCGGCTTTTGGAGCAAAAGTAGCACTATAGTTATACTAGCTGTATATACTTATATATATTACAGCCTGTAAAAGTCGCGTTATTTCAAATTTGGCGTAATTTTACGAAATTCGTTGATTTTTGTTATATTATTCTGTCATATCTTCGGTTCCTTGAATGAGATCATTCTGAAAATTTGTGTAGACCTAGTCCAATAGGGCTTTTACAACTGTCCAAAAAACTTGGTGGATGTCAGAGTTGACGTACTCGTTAGTGATGAAAATGGGGCAAAATACGCTGCTTGGATATTGGATATGCTCTAAATTTTTCGGACAGTTTTCTTGTAAGCCTAGGAGTAAGCTAACCAATTTTTGTTAAAATTGGATCAAGGGAAGGTTATTCAATACGAATTTGTTTCAAGAATTTTGTGCTGGCCGAAATTAGCGCTAAAGAACAATCCTGCCATGCAGTCGGCAAGCGCGGCTCACTGTCGATGGCGCACTACCTATCTAATTCTATATCGAGCTGACAGTGACACGGACTTAGGACGTCCGCCAAAATCGCAGATTTTCAGACCACCCCCACCCCTTTCCGGGTGCGACTGTGTCCAAATTTTCAAAACCACCCCCTCCCCTCCCCCGGACGTTCGGATTTCCAACTACTTTCAAGAGTACAAATAAAACCAACTCAAATTCATTATATAGTAATTGGTGTCAAAGTACAAAGAGTTGAAATTAATGGGACTTTTTCGTTAGTCCGGATTTTCAGAAACCACATCCTTCCCCTGTCGGATTTGTCCGAATTTCCAAAACCAAAATAATTTATGAAAACGGAGCCTTTTCAGGTCACAGATACGATATCAAGATTTTACACACATCTTGAAAAAGATAAAAATAAACTTCGTGCAACATTGAACATTTTAGCTCGATATCTCATCAAAACAAATGTGCTTTTACATTTTACGAAAAATGGGTCGCGATTAACTTAACTAGCAGGAACCCGTCTAACCCTAAAATGGTGCCAAGACTCAAGAGACTAAAACAATTATTACCCATTTAATTCGCGTTTTTGACACCACGTAGGGTACCAAATTTTGGGCTCTAAAACTCCTATTTCTTGGCCTATTTTTTATTTTTTCATGCTGATTTGGAGGCCATTAAAGCATTTGACCCAGTCAAAAAAGTTTTAGTTGTATATATATAATATCTTTTACGGTTTTTGCAGAAATTCGCGTTTAACTTGATGCCGTGGTGTCAGTAAAATGACACGGATAAATATATATATATCGTCTCGCTTTATATATAGTAAGATAATAAAGCTAATTTAAGTCTTAAATTAGCTTTATTATTAAGTTAAATCTTAAATTTTAAGATGCAAAATATTCAAGCATCCACTAAAAGTAAACATGACTGGGATCTGTGCATAGTGATAATTATCATAAACTTAAAACGTTTAATTTTCAATTTCAACATTAAGAATTAATTTTTTAAATGTTAAAACATTAAATCGAGTTCAGTTCTTTGAAACTAATATTCCGACTAGATGTTCTCCGACTTCTTTAAGACTTTTCATCAGCACAGAGTTGGGTTCCCTGGAGAATATATCTAAATCAGGTCCCTCGTTACTACGACCTCTCTTTCTCCAATGATCTTTGTCGAAATCTGTCCTGAGGAAGTGTAGATATGTTAAAAATCCAAAAGTTTTAAAAACAGATTGATATGAAATGGATCAAAAACAAATTTTATGCCTATTTGAACAGCCCAAATAATGTAAGTAATAGTATATCTATAGATTATAGAACGAATCCGTCGGTATTTAAACCTTTATTTGATATGAGGACCGGTATTAATAAATATCTTAACTCGAACCTCTTGGAGTTAAGGTCTCTCTGAACAGAACGAATGATTGAGTTTAAAAGTCGCATCGTCATAGCAACTATCTTCCGAACAATACCAGGTTTTATTTCACCATCTTCAAAAGAAAACATAAAGTCAACATTCTTAACGGCAATATCTTTGACATAATCTCGAATCTTATCGGTAAACCTATCTTCAAGGGGCTGCATCTCCTGTAATATTATTAAAATTACAGCACAGTACGGTCAAGGCCGGTGATAAATAGCTGGCAGTCAGGTTAGACGATCACTCTTTTAACTTTTAAGATATGTAGCGCAGATAATATCAATAATAAGTCACCTGCAAAAGCAGCTTGCTGACAAGGAAACTATGTCGGGTGCTGCTGTATTCTGTCTCATTCATAACCCCCAACAAGAAATCAAGTGACATAACATCATCCTCTACCTCCTCCTTAAACTCCTCGATGACGTCATCACAGCTGGAGACGTATCTCAGGTCAGCTAAACATACGCCCAGCTGTTCCTTGTGGTAGTCCCAGCGGGGCTCTATACATAAGGGTGGGGAGGCACCCCAACTACCGTCCAGTCGACATACCAGAGCAGTGGATACTCCTCTCATTTTGTACCCTGATAGTTGTTTGTTTTTTTGTTAACAGACGTTGTGAAAGAGATTCCCACTTTTTAGTAAAGTTATTAGTGTTGGTTTTACTGATGATGTCATCATGTTTTTTAACAAAAGGGCAAGGTGACAAGGGAAACTGACAGAAGCTGATGCATGATGATTGATATAGACCTCTATTATTCACAAATTATTCGCAATAACATCGACATAAGCTGATAACCTGGCTTGCAGGAGAGGGAAGCCACAAAGTTGGAGATTGAAACCTGTCCGTTAGGGATGTCTAATGTAGGGCAGTCTGAGGAGAAGATTTAAAAGCTGCAGTATTTGCATGATCAGATAGTATCATTGGTATTATTGTGTTCAAGGATTCACAGAGCCAGCTGTGAAATTTATTTCAAGACTTTTAGTTTTAAATTTGATGCAAAGTCCAAAAAGGGTCTCAAAATGTCTCCGTCACGCGAGTAAGTCTTGATAATTTCCCTAAGTGCTAAACACCATTTACCTGGAGAGCAGATAGCTATTCCGGTTATCAATCTACAAGAATGGTTCTCCTGGCAAGTTTCCAGGAGCTCACACTTTGTTGGGATACAAGAGGGTGGTTCCGGATCCCAATCTCCGTTACTACAGTGCACTGTTCCCGCACCGTTCATCTGAAAACCTGAAATTCTGGAGAGTAATATTTTATACGGCGCTAGATCTGTGTTCATGTTATACACGATGCGAGTTAGACCAATACACAAGGGATTTGTGCCTGGGCCGGGGTTTCTTCCGAGCATAACTCTACCATTAGTAGAATATAGCAAAAACTACACCTTTTATTTGATGGAGGTAAACCCTTCTTATCTAGCCCCCCCCGGCCCCCACCTTTACCTTCAAGACAAGTGATCTGAGCTGAACTGGTCGTTCTTGTTACGTTACCACTGTACACAGTAGGTGTTGTGCACTCTGAAACAGTGGGTATAAGTACCGTATTAAGAAATATGTAATGCAAAGATAGTCAATGTTAATATGTTATACCAAATCATTTTCAAAACTTGACCCAACAAAACGAGACAGAATACTACAGCCAAAAAAGTAATGGTGCTATTTTGTGTTTCAAATAAACTTTAAACCTTTAAAGCAAGCAGGAACTCCGTCCACCTCCTCGCAGTACATTCCACTAGGACAGCTGTAGAATTCACATGTTCGAAAGACACAGAGAGGCGGGGTCCCGTCCCATTCTCCCTCAACACAGTGCAGAACGTTCCTCCCTACTCTGTGGAGCAGGAACGTGGTTATATCGATTTAAGTGAAGGAGTAACTGCTGTGTTATTCGTTTTAAGATCGGATGAAGATGATTAGTATAGAGGGGTTCAATAGTTTAAATAGAATGCGCTGGAATGACAGCTTGTTTTGTGTGTTAGAACTAGTACCTTCTGTAAAGACTGTCGCACGTGTAGCGAGCTGTAGTGGAATGCTGTACCACAGATCCGTTATCTAATGTATCTAACACTGGACACGCTGAAATATTTTCATTGACTATGTAATTGGACGATTTTATACAAATTAATTATAATTAATGATATATGTATCTAGTCAGGTAATAATTTAACAAGACAAAAAACTTCAACGAAGTAGTAAATATTAAATACCAAGGTGACAAGTAGGAGTGTCGTGTTCCATTAAACAAAACATATCAGACCCACAACTCCAGCTCGCGCAGTCATGAGGAACACATTTGGGTAGATCACCTGGATAATTAGCTAATTAACTAATCATTGACTGACTATTTATTCTGTGGACTGATATAATCAACTGACTAATTTTTTTAATAAATCGAAATTTCATACATCGGTCCCATATTACCATTTGCGGTGATTTTCGGGCATTTTTCGAAGATCCTGGAATCTAACTCTAAGTAACTTAATTGTGTCTAATGCTATCGCCATTCACAATTAATCGACTAATTGGTCAGCTCAATGTTTCTTAAAAGGTGTATTGAAATTAAAAACCATCAAATTAATATGCCAACAATACCTGACCAACTCCCGCCTTTACATGTCACAGAATTTACACCTTCTAGATAAAAGTATTCATCACACTGAAATTTTGCTCGTTTCTTTGTGTGTTCTACAGTACCGTTTTCTAGTAATAGCACTTCTTGACAACCTACAAAATATGTTGATAGTAAGGGACAATGTTAAATATCTTTTTTTTAAATACAAGCTCTAGATGTTTGTTGCTGAGAATAAATCAAACTCAACCGAATATCAAAAGAATCAAAGAAGGATGGGAATCAAATGGTTGACCTTTTAAGTTTTAAAATCAAAATAAAGGCATTAGTAAAAAATGCAGGAACCTTGATAACAAGTGGTAATGTCTCCCTGTAATTCACAGAACTCCTCCGCACCACACGGATAAGTATTACAAGTATGTGGCACACATTCCGGTTCACTTCCCGTCCACGCACTGTTAGAACAGGTAATACGTGACTCTCCCGACATGTAGAAGTACTGATTGCAGTGGAATGTGGCGGCCCCCTTGTGCATGGTGGCTGTTCCGTTCTCTAGCTCTAGTTCCTCGCATCCTGCGGTGGTTTCGTTTAATCTGCAAGCTGCAAACACTACAACGGTGGATGGCACAGAAATGTTTACAACATATGTCTTTAGAGCAAGCTAGGTATATATATAAAAATTGTAATAATAGAGTTTCGGTTATCAAATACAAATCACTGATCAGCTCACGTGGTAAACATGTGGGAATGTTGTCCTGGACCTCACAATACTCTGTCTCCTCACAAAGGAATGTGTCGCAGGTATGTACTGTGCACGTGGGCGCCTCTCCTTCCCACTCTCCTTCTACACAGTCTAACTTTTCTGACCCCTCCAAGAAGTAGTGGTCATCCTGAAAGGATGGGATTGAAAGATTGGTTAGAATCCCGTTAGAATCTAAACATTTGTCTTATATAGTCTCATTATATAGTCTTATATAGTCTTATATAGTCTTATATAGTCTCATTAAACATGAAATTAGAATTTAATTAGAATGATGCTATTGACGCGGACGTAGTGTTGGTAGATGTAAACGTTGATCCCTCTGATTTATAGACTACAGTGGTTGATTAGATTTAGAAACATTCGAACTTCTTGTTTGATAGATAAACAACAACTCGTTCTGTCTTCACTGAAAATTATTCAGCTCAGAATTCAGTTAATAATAGCCCATGATTATCATCTGTTTCCGTTCAATTCTAATCACAATAAATAAAACAACAAAAGCGTTTACAGTTAGAACGAAGACTCCGATCTTTAGTTATAGCCTCAGCACTAGCTGAGTATATATACGGTTATAAAAGGTGAAAGAGGTTGTTTAAAAGTTTAAACTATCATATTGAAAAAGGGCAATAGTTCATGTGACAATAATAGCATAGTCTGTGAGTCTCGGTCTATACTTAGAACAAAGACGTCCATCATAAGTTTTAGCCTCAACACTAGATGAATATAATATCATGAAAAGTGAATGAGATTGTTAAAATTATTGGATCAAATAAAACGGTCCACGCTTTAACAAACCAACTTTAACTGTAATAAGAAAAAAGTTCGTATGGTTTATTGTTTTCTGACACGTACTTAATGTCAATATTGTTCTTTATCAGTAAATAGACGCCGGGCTATCACTTGGTCTTTGTGTCGAAGATGAATGAGGATGAACAAAGAGGCGACTGATTGACTGCTGCGTTTTGAGTGCAGCTTTAAAAGCTAATCTATGGAGGTAAATTTATCATTTATTTTTATTGATTTAAAATAGTTCAGCCATATTGTTCAGACCTCTGTTACTTTTTAAGTTTTGCTTAATCACACAGAATTATCTGTATATTTTTTAGTATTCTAAAGTCAGTGTTAGTTATTCTAAAATGTCGACACATTGTTAAGTACGGATCAACACGTTTAAATCACAAAGCAAGACTTCGAAAGTAATTTTACGTATTATTATTTCCATATTTCCCAGATCTGAATATTATGAATAACAATTGATCCAATTAACCTTTTTAGCATCATGAGAATCTTGTTGTTTGTCTCGGTGATATGCGGATTGGTGGCGCTAACGGCTGCAAACAAAAAATGTGACAGTTTGGAAAAGAAATTTAAAGATTGTCTCTCCAAAGGATTCAAACCGAAAAAACTTGAAGGTTGCAAATCTGGAGACGGAAAAATGGAAAAGAAAGACGTCAAAAAATGTGCCAAGGTCGAAAAGGTGGTGATCAAGAAATGTGACTTCTCCTGCGACGATGAAGATGGAGGAGATGAAAATGGAGATGTAAGAGAACCATTCGTTCCTGCTGCCGGGTCTCACTACCTTGTTAAAAAGGTGGATGCACCTGGAGCTGGACAAGTCCTGTCGATTAGCCTTATTGACAAGAGGAACATTATATCCTACTTTCTGTCCACCACAGTCCACACTTCCAAGGGGATTCCGTGGACGATTGAAAAAGCAGCATGCAGCTGTCAAAATGAATGCACCTGCTACAAGCTCGTATTCCGGAAAAAAACCTGTTGCTGCTATAGAAACTTCGCTATGTCAGTGCACAGCGACACACGTGATAACGGAGATGGACGAGTCATAGTGCACCGGACACCTCACAAACCCGAAGATGAGTCGTGGGTCATTGAACCGGCAGTGAACGGCTACAAATTGAAGAAAGCACAGGGAAGACAAGAAGGAAAGTATCTTGTTGCCAGAGTTAACCGAAAAGAGCCCGGTACCATGTTTGCTGACGTCACCGCTGACTCTTCTGCAGCTTCAATTTGGAATTTTGAAACTATTGCGTAATTGAATGAGAATGGTTTGCTGGTTGAATAGACATTATCATTAGGATACAAAATGGATGAACGAAGACAGTATGGCCCAAACTAAACTATAAATTCCATCTCGACAACATTGATAAGAAAACCTGACACGAGAACATAGCAGTCCCTCCCACCACGGAGAGGTCTCCGTTACTTAGTGACGGCAATGCTGGACACGCTGAAATATTTTGCAGACATTAATAATTAACAATTATTTAACAAAACAATGATTTATTTTTACAGCACATTCCAACAATACCAATGGTAAATAATTCAGTGGAGGCTTGAGGAGGTTTCAAGTGCTGAAGGTCACTGTTATTGTTGTATGACATAATGTTGAAGACAATAATGTTACGATGCTGCTTGTTCATTCCAAAACGAGAATGAAAGTTGAATTACAAACTTGACAAGTTAAGGTACAGAATTCAAAACGACTAACATGTTTTGCAGGAGGGAAGGTTGTTAATAATACTACAGTACTCAGTTTCAGAACAAACCCATTCCGCGCACGTGCGTGGGATGCACGTGGGCGGGGGCGCACTCCACTTTTCCGTAATGTGGTTGTAGCTTAGCGTCTTCTCTCCTTCCAATATATATCTAATAGAAAGTGGTAGAGATTTATTTGAACTAAAATTGTTCATCAATCTAAAACGGAAATGTAGATTAAACGTTTCGTAAGTTGAAAGGGCCGTACAACAAAAGTAAGATAACCGAAAGAAATTACTTGCTATCACAATCAAACACAGTTAGTCGACTTTTCACATTAACATTCCCATGGTCAGGAGCTACTAAAACAGGCGACTCTGAAAATCAGATGGATAAATTAAACTGAATTTTCATCAGAAATTATGAGAATTTACAGAATATTTACACTCAGTTGTTATACAGACGCATAAAGACGGTTAACATTGTGCGAAAGCTTCAGCGTCTTTAATTTTGACCATTTTAAAGGCTTCACCGTCTTTAATTCATCGCAACCCGTCTTTAAATTTGCTGGTAGACGTAAGGTCAGTGTGTGAAATGTGCTTTATTACAATATTACATCCCATCTATTTTGAGACCTGTTAGGCTGTTAAGTGCCGTCTTTAATTTTTGTTCATGTGAGGCTTTGTCTTTATACTTTTATAAAGGGCTTCTTTATAAAAACAAACTGAGTGTACTTTAACTCTTTGTTGAGTCACTATAACTTAATTCCCCTTCTAAACTCGATCAGAATCCAAAAGAGACCATTTGGTATAAAGGTGAATGCATATTAAAACTTAACATGATATCATGGTAATCAAAAACAGGAAAACTTGTAATTTCAAGCTTTTTACAAATTAATAAACTCACTCAAGTAACATGTAATTAATAAACTCACTCAAGTAACATGTAGGACCAGGAATATCCGCGTCCCACTCACAAAGGTGCCCGGTCTCCCCGACTGGAGGGTTGCCACAATTCCATGTTTTGCACGTGTGTTTAATGCACGTGGGCGCGTCACCGTCCCACACACCCGCAGTAGAGCACAATAATGTGCTCAGTCCCTTCAAGTACCTAGTAATAGTATTCCATGCTTTCTTATATGACACGCATGAATAATTATTGATTACCCGCAACCACTGCTTGACTGACTAAGTTAACAGATAGAGAGCTAGTAATATAACAACCACAAGGACAATTTTTTCATCATCATGTTTACACACTTTTACAACTGTTCGGTTCGATTGTAACTCGTATACCGTGACACCAGGTTGAAACCGTAAGTTTATAAGGTTTGAAACAACTAAGTCCCTGACCTGTATATACTCAAGCATTGAAACGTTGCTGTTGTATCGGTTTGAGCCACTGATTTTAGTTGGGTATCAGACAGCTTCGGGCAAGCTGAAAACAGAGAGTTTGATTTATAATTTCTTTTAGATAGAGCTTGAAAAATTAATATAACCTAATCAACAGAAGCAACACACTCACTAAAAAATAAGAGGTGACCAACGTACTTACATTTGAAGCATGATGGCAAAGAGTTTTTGTCACTCAAAAGACAGTACTCGTCCACTGAGCATACCCACGAGCTACAATCATGAGGTTTGCACGTGGGTGCTGCGCGGTCCCAATGTCCGTTAGACTGGCAGGACAGCAAACTACTTCCTTCCATTCTATAGAATTTATCACAATAAAATGTAGCTGATGTGTACGTTTGCTCAACAGCTCCATTTGTAGGTTGTGCTAATAATGGACAAGCTGAAAATGGATGCCTCTTACGAAGTTTTCGGTAACAAGATTTGCAATTGCGACACTCGCACAATGTACATATTATACAATATACATTATACACTTGACGTGACCTATAAAAGTAAATAAAATTAAAAGTGATGTTGATGATTAACAGGTCATAATGAGCTCACCCTGTTGACAAACTGGTATCCCCTGAAAAACGATGCAGTACTCATTGACAGAATCACATTCCCATTCTTCGCAAGTGTAGGCTTCGCAAGTGGGTGCTGAATTATCCCAGATTCCTTCTTCACACCTTAGGATTGCGATTATCAGGAATACAGCTTGGGGTAACTTGAATAAATATTTTGGGACGAGTTTTTGCACTTTATCTTGGCCTTCTAGAGTCGACAATTTAATAGTCGACAATTTAAGAGCCTAAATGCTGATTGAGCCAACGAACCTATATATTGGAGACAAGCCAAACGCCACAGTAGGACGCGATGAGAATTGAGACCTTCACACCTCAAAAATCAGCTAAGGTCGGTCGGGACCCTCAATATGAACAAAAACAGAGAATTTGAAGCTACCGCCATGGTGATTGGAGCAAACATCCCTATCATGGTATGTATCAGGAGCGAATAAAGAATGTCATTCCTGCGCAATATATATATACCTTAGTTTATAGGCTCCCACCAAATAGTGAGAACTCTGACACGTAAACTTGGCTACGGTATTACTTTTCTCCACAGCTCCGAACACAGGGTTTTCCAGGTCAGGGCAAGCTGAAATGACACTGTTGAAGTCTAGATTTCTATTTATTACAATTTTCGGAGATTACAATAAATCAGAATTGGTGTCCTAGATATTTAGGGACCATTCATGATATTAGAACACCCGTTCTTATCTCCCCTCCTTCCGGTTTTGAAAGAAATTTCCAACGATTTTTTATTCGACGCAGGGAATCTGAGTGTAACCATAAAACAAGGATTTTAACACAACCTACCCTTCTTACAGACAGGTATGTTACCCGAAAGGAAGTCCATGTAACAAAACTCATCGTCAGCGCACGTTATTGCCGAACAATCGCCTGAAAACCCCCTAAATTAGACCACAATTACTACAGCACAACAATCATATCAAATTGGCATATTATTACTTATTAGTATAAATTAGCTTATTTCGAACTCAATCTTACTTATTGAGTATTCTTCCAGTATAGCTAGTAATTTCTATTGACCAAAAGTTATGTTTCTGTACGATCAACCAGAGTTTAAAAGACAAATATCTTCTTGTCAGAGATCTTTGGCAAAATTCGCTGTGTTCCTTAACCGTGCATTATCTGTGCCTCAATTTTCCACCGACAGATTACCGAACTCCCTAAAACTTACCTAAAACACAGGCAGGTTTTCCATTCACCATCTCGCACATTTCACCATCAGCGCAAGGTTCCTCCCATGTCGAACAATCGTGTGGAATACAGTGGGGAGGCGACAAATCATTCCAGTTACCGTCAGGCATACAAGTTACCACATGACAAGGTGGGCTTATTGCAACACAGACTCGCCGTAACCACAGTTTTGCAACTTCAACCAACCTAATGTCAGTAACGTCACGCAAATGCTACCTTGTGGAAACCTGGATCTCGTATAAGAAGTCCGGTTATATTTCATTATGTTATGCAGACTTGGAAAGTGATTCTGTTGGTAAAAATCGCACAAAAAGCACTTTACAAAGACACTAAACAAAGAACAGTAAACAAAGAACACTAAAGATTATAACATCAAATCTCGCACCACTTACTCGTTTGTATGAGACAGGTAAGAGTGAGAAGGGCAGCTTATGTAAGCGACAAGGTGTTCCGTCCTTATCCCGTCTGTTTAATAATATCAGAGATTGTTAAAATTGTTCAATACGGCTAATTTTAAGCAATAATAAGTTTGTATTAAGTCCTTAAGAAAATACGCGTATATTTCTTCAAAATAAAATACGTCAATAATTGAATAAATAGGTATCGTATTTTGTAATACGTATTAATAAAAGTATGAGTTTAACAACTTTGATAAAATCTGTAGGTCACTTTTGGTGCCACCTCGCCTTCATTGTAATCCGCTTGTGTAATCTTTGCACACCCTGTAAAGTGTAAATGAACTTCATGACTTGTTTCCCCCTAGTTACGGGAAGATTCAAAAGGGAATTTTCAAACTCTGCAAGTCTAATCTAAAAAGTAAGCTTGCAAATCGTAACAAAAAGAACTAACTTGGGTGACATTTCTTGATTTCTTCGAAGCCATTACAGTACTCGTGCTGCCCACATATCAAATCAAGACACTCCTGGTGTCCCTCACGAAATACATAGCTCTTTTCACAAGTCGGAGGGTCGTTATCCCACTCTCCACTGACGATGGAGTATAATTGGTTAATTGATCAGATTAAAAACAAGCTATAAATTCTCGAAGTAGATTGATCGGGGAAATAGCACTCATTCATAAATTTGCCAAATTTTATGAATGAGTCGTGATATATTCAAATTATCAATATTGAACTGTGCCGACGCCCGATAATGAATTAAATCTGATTTGGGTTAAATAAATTGCAATTTTATTGATTAGAGTTGATTCGACTGCGAATTGCGAAAAATAATAGTCACCTTGGTAAACAGTTGAGGGTGGAATGGCCCCACAGAAAATAATCATCTGTTAGATCGCAGGAGAAGACAGCTTGTGCATCCATGACATTGACTTGTAGTCGTTCGTCGGTAATGTCGAAACTCGGACATGCTGTAGCGAAACAGGAAAGTGAATGTGAAAGTGAATGTTGAGACAAAAGGTGATGGTGAATGTTGAGAGAAATTGTGAAAATGAAACGAAAAATTCACGGATAATTCACGCTAAATATTTAGAGCGACGGAAATACCTTGTGTACAGACAGGAAATCCGTCCACCGTATTTACACAGATTTGATCCTCGTTACAGGATATAGTTTGACAGACATGAACTAAACACACTGGTAGAACATCATTCCAACTTCCGTCATTTTGGCAGAGCAAGGTTTCTGGGGAATACTTCATTACTAATCTTATAAGAGCACTAACTCATTATTATATGTTCTATGATTTCTCATTTCAGAGCTCTCTATCAAATTTCTAGGTCTATATTCTACATACAATACGGTAATAATGAGTCTGTCAAGTATGAGCGGAGTAAAAATGATCAGGTAACACGTCTTGTATCCAAGAATATTGTTTACACTGTTGTTGGAGCCAGCTGTAAACTTTACAGCCGGCTCCAACTCTGATCCATCAATCATATGAATTTGAACGTATTCAAATTTCAAGCTCATCATTATTGGCTGGGGAAACTAAATAATAATGTTGAGTTGATGAATCCAGATTTTTGGAACATTTTTGGAACATTTTTGGAACATGTGCCAAAATTGTGCCAAAAGTGTGCCATGCATTTATTTGCCCTAATAAGCTCTAAATAGTGCCAAAAATAATTGTAAATGATGGATATAGCTGCAAGCTAGGTCTAAGGGCCATCGAAAGTAGCATAACATTACCCAGGTTCATGGAATGAACGTAAATGAACAAAAATGAATATTGTCCTAAAAATGCTCAGAACGGTTTAAAATTGGTCGGAAAGTGTTTATATTGTTCCTAGGACCACTCAAACCAAGTTTGGGAATCACTGCATGTCTAGAACCGATGTTACCTATGTTCCAAAATGTTCCAATTTTGTCACAATAATCCTCCTGAGAATCCAGATTTTTGGAACATGGGCACATCGAAGTATTGGCTGTATTTAAGTGCTGGGAAGCCTCAATTCGGTTTTCTAAGATGGATATAGGTAAAAACTAGGCCTAAGAGCCATCAAAACTCAAATAACATTACCCAGGTTCATGGAATGAACGAAAATGAACAAAAATAAATATTGTCCTAAAAATGCTCAGACAGAACGGTTTAAAATTGGTCGGAAAGTGTTTATATTAGTCCTAGGACCACTCAAACCAAGTTTGGGAATCACTGCATGTCTAGAACCGATGTTACCTATGTTCCAAAATGTTCCAATTTTGGCACAATAATCCTCCTGAGAATCCAGATTTTTGGAACATGGGCACATCGAAGTATTGGCTGTATTTAAGTGCTGGGAAGCCTCAATTTGGTTTTCTAAGATGGATATAGGTAAAAAGTAGGCCTAAGAGCCATCAAAACTCAAATAACATTACCCAGGTTCATGGAATGAACGAAAATGAACAAAAATAAATATTGTCCTAAAAATGCTCAGACAGAACGGTTTAAAATTGGTCGGAAAGTGTTTATATTAGTCCTAGGACCACTCAAACCAAGTTTAGGAATCACTGCATGTCTAGAACCGATGTTACCTAGATGTTCCAAAATGTTCCAATTTTGGCACAATAATCCTCCTGAGAATCCAGATTTTTGGAACATGGGCACATCGAAGTATTGGCTGTATTTAAGTGCTGGGAAGCCTCAATTCGGTTTTCTAAGATGGATATAGGTAAAAACTAGGCCTAATACTCTAATAGCCATCAAAAGTCAAATAACATTACCCAGGTTCATGGAATGAACGAAAATGAACAAAAATGAATATTGTCCTAAAAATGCTCAGAACGGTTTAAAATTGGTCGGAAAGTGTTTATATTAGTCCTAGGACCACTCAAACCAAGTTTGGGAATCACTGCATGTCTAGAACCGATGTTGCCAATGTTCCAAAATGTTCCAATTCGAGTGGTCTTAGGACCAATACAAACACTTTCCGACCAATTTTAAACCGCTCTGAGCAATTCCAAAGAGTTTACGAAAGAGTCATAAGGCCAATCAACAGATTATTCATTTACTGTACTGTTAAGATGGTTCGGTATTCTGCACCCCTCGTATCGGTTCTGGGCATGCAGTGATTCCATAAACAGTCAGACAGTCACACAATGTACACCCTATATTTAGATCACATCAGTTTCATTTGTATCACATCACTTCGTGTAATAGATGTGTGGAAGCAAATAAAGATGTGATCTGAATAAGGTGATCCGAGCGTAGCAAGTTTATCCGATCTTATTTGGTGTGATCGGATGTAGAGGCGTAAGATCAGATCAGGTCATCAGCAATAGGATTAACTTAGCAAGCTTGTTAATGAATAAGAAGAGAATAAATAGATAATTAAGTTATACAAATCATTTTCCCTCTCTGTTAACCACAACAACTACAACGACGATGAATCCCTTCACTAAATTGAATGATGAGCCTACCTCTTTATCTACCAGTTCAAAGAAGCACCAGCAGTCCACATGGGCTACATCAACGGGGGGGCAGCTGCCCCCCCTGGGATTTGGGGGACAAGTTTACAAAAACATGAAAATTTATTCTTCAACATAACATTAAACCAGACGGCTATGGTATACAGTTTTGTTTTCGCACCCACTGCTCTGTAGCCCCACTGCACGTAAATTCGTGTCCCTCAAGTACTGGAAAATGCGTCAAAATTGTCTAATTTCCTTTAAAAAATTTCCGGGGGGCTTCGCCCCCCTATCCCCCCGACAAGGGGCTCCGCCCCTTGACCCCACTGGGGGCTGCGCCCCCAGACCCCTGCTATTGGGGGGCTTCGCCCCCGTGCCCCCCCACCAGGGGCTCCGCCCCCCCTGGGTTGAAGACGTGATGTAGCCCCTGGTCCACCTCACTCAACCAACCCCTTCACCAGCAACCTACCTCGCTCAACCAACCCTTTCACCCGCAACCTTCATCCCTCAACGAACAAATACATCAATATATTGGGGGATTATTAAAACCAAAATAGTTGCCCAATAAAATAATTTCTGCCTTCTCTTGGAGGTACGTGTGCTAATTGTACATAATTCTGAATGCAACTTTAAGACTCTGTTGGACGAAAATATTGACTCTTTGCCACCATTTTCTTACCATTCTGAGCGCTTTAAGGAAAATTTTCATTTTTGTTCATTTTCGTTCATTCCATGAACCTGGGTAATGTTATTTGACTTTTGATGGCTCTTAGGCCTAGTTTTTACCTATATCCATCTTAGAAAACCGAATTGAGGCTTCCCAGCACTTAAATACACTTAAATACAGCCAATACTTCGATGTGCCCATGTTCCAAAAATCTGGATTCTCAGGAGGATTATTGTGCCAAAATTGGAACATTTTGGAACATCTAGGTAACATCGGTTCTAGACATGCAGTGATTCCCAAACTTGGTTTGAGTGGTCCTAGGACCAATGTAAACACTTTCCGACCCATTTTAAACCATTCTGAGCACTTTGAGAAGAATGTTCATTTTCGTTCATTTCTGGTCATTCCATGGGTAATTTTATACGACTTTTGATGGCTCCTAGGCCTAGCTTACGGCTATATCCATTTTAGAAAACCGAACTGAGCCTTCCCAGCACTCAAATACGGCCAATACTGCGATGTGCCCATGTTCCAAATTTATGGATTCATCTACTGATAATGTTATTTGTATTAATGTTATCAGCGGTTATGCCAAATGCGCCAAAATTTAGCGGGAAACGCCGCGCATTTATGTCACGGTAATCAATATCGACACAATGGTTTCAGTTATCAACACAAATTTGTCAATCGCGCCGTCCGTCAATCTCATAATGAATTTCAAAATGAGAACATTTTCCAAATTATGATTTTTCCGGAAGCTGTTTAAATATGCTACTAAGGTACTCAAAACATAAAACCCATCTACATGTAGGTAGGTAGATGGAAACAGACGTGACATGTTTGCGCGACTCTAAAGTCCGGTCTAGGTGATATCCGTCGGCTCCTTGCAAATCAGGAGCACATAAGTGCGAACTCCGGATCGCTACTCAATAGAGCACCCAATTTTAAACTCATCGCACAGGCTGAAGTATGTCACTTTGTTCGCAGTTAACATATCCATATATTTGATAATGGCGCTTACTCACCAGTGCCGTAAAGATAAAAGTTCTTATCACAGAAGATAATAGCAGACTCATCACGCTGAATAACTGTACCGTCTTTAACTGATCCTAGATCTGGACACGCTGCAAATGTATGAGATAATTTATTATATCTCCCGACTCTTACTTCTTAATTTCTGTAGCTTTATATAGAATATGAGCAAATATCTAATTAGAAAATGTGTCACTCTCTGCTGAATTCCAAGTTCACCAAATGAGACTTACCTAAATAAATCAGGACACAATCTGTCGATTAATTATAATGTTATAGCTAGTTTATTTCAATAAAACAAGCTAATTAGTTTACAATGAGAGATATTTTCTTAATATAAATCAACTGACCAGGATAGCAATCTATAAAACTGTAAGTGTCGTCAATCTTGCAGTACTGATCCAGCCCACAGATATACGTGGCACAACCTTGAGGTACACACTCAGGAGGGAACCCACTCCATACACCATCCTTACTGGTGGGGAGGTGGTGTTATGTGGGGAGGTGGTGTTATGTGGGGAGGTGGTGTTATGTGGGGAGGTGGTGTTATGTGGAGAGGTGGTGTTATGTGGGGAGGTGGTGTTATGTGGGGAGGTGGTGTTATGTGGGGAGGTGGTGTTATGTGGGGAGGTGGTGTTATGTGGAGAGGTGGTGTTTTGTGGGGAGGTGGTGTTATGTGGGGAGGTGGTGTTATGTGGGGAGGTGGTGTTATGTGGGGAGTTGGTGTTATGTGGGGAGGTGGTGTTATGTGGGGAGGTGGTGTTATGTGGGGAGGTGGTGTTATGTGTGGAGGCGGTGTTATGTGGGGAGGTGGTGTTATGTGGGGAGGTGGTGTTATGTGGGGAGATGGTGTTATGTGGGGAGGTGGTGTTATGTGGGGAGGTGGTGCTATGTGGGGAGGTGGTGCTATGTGGGGAGGTGGTGTTATGTGGGGAGATGGTGTTATGTGGGAAGGTGGTGTTATGTGGGGAGGTGGTGTTATGTGGGGAGGTGGTGCTATGTGGGGAGGTGGTGTTATGTGGGGAGGTGGTGTTATGTGGGGAGGTGGTGTTATGTGGGGAGGTGGTGTTATGTGGGGAGGTGGTGTTATGTGGGGAGGTGGTGTTATGTGGGGAGGTGGTGTTATGTGGGGAGGTGGTGCTATGTGGGGAGGTGGTGCTATGTGGGGAGGTGGTGTTATGTGGGGAGATGGTGTTATGTGGGAAGGTGGTGTTATGTGGGGAGGTGGTGTTATGTGGGGAGGTGGTGCTATGTGGGGAGGTGGTGTTATGTGGGGAGGTGGTGTTATGTGGGAAGGTGGTGCTATGTGGGAAGGTGGTGCTATGTGGGGAGGTGGTGTTATGTGGGGAGATGGTGTTATGTGGGAAGGTGGTGTTATGTGGGGAGGTGGTGTTATGTGGGGAGGTGGTGCTATGTGGGGAGGTGGTGTTATGTGGGGAGGTGGTGTTATGTGGGGAGGTGGTGTTATGTGGGGAGGTGGTGTTATGTGGGGAGGTGGTGTTATGTGGGGAGGTGGTGTTATGTGGGGAGGTGGTGCTATGTGGGGAGGTGGTGTTATGTGGGGAGATGGTGTTATGTGGGAAGGTGGTGTTATGTGGGGAGGTGGTGTTATGTGGGGAGGTGGTGCTATGTGGGGAGGTGGTGTTATGTGGGGAGGTGGTGTTATGTGGGGAGGTGGTGTTATGTGGGAAGGTGGTGTTATGTGGGGAGGTGGTGTTATGTGGGGAGGTGGTGTTATGTGGGAAGGTGGTGTTATGTGGGGAGGTGGTGTTATGTGGGGAGGTGGTGTTATGTGGGGAGGTGGTGTTATGTGGGGAGGTGGTGTTATGCGGGGAGGTGGTGTTATGTGGGGAGGTGGTGTTATGTGGGGAGGTGGTGTTATGTGGGGAGGTGGTGTTATGTGGGGAGGTGGTGTTATGTGGGAAGGTGGTGTTATGTGGGGAGGTGGTGTTATGTGGGGAGATGGTGTTATGTGGGGAGGTGGTGTTATGTGTGGAGGTGGTGTTATGTGGGGAGGTGGTGTTATGTGGGAGGTGGTGTTATGTGAGGAGGTGGTGTTATGTGGGGAGGTGGTGTTATGTGGAGAGGTGGTGTTATGTGGGGAGGTGGTGTTATGTGGGGAGGTGGTGCTATGTGGGGAGATGGTGTTATGTGGGGAGATGGTGTTATGTGGGGAGGTGGTGTTATGCGGGGAGGTGGTGTTATGTGGGGAGGTGGTGTTATGTGGGGAGGTGGTGTTATGTGGGGAGGTGGTGTTATTTGGGGAGGTTGTGTTATGTGGGAGGTGGTGTTATGTGGGGAGGTGGTGTTATGTGGGGAGGTGGTGTTATGTGGGGAGGTGGTGTTATGTGGGGAGGTGGTGTTATGTGGGGAGGTGGTGTTATGTGGTTGCTATAGTTACTATAGTTACTATAGTAACTATAGTTACTATAGTTACTATAGTTACTATAGTTACTATAGTTACTATAGTTACTATAGTTACTATAGTCACTATAGTTACTATAGTTACTATAGTTACTATATTTGACGTAAATTACATCAGTATTTAGTATTTACTTCCTTTTGTTGGAAATCTTAAATAAGATTTAGAATTTTTTAATTATCAGATGATTGTGACTGTATCAAAAGTAAAAAGTAATATTTCCTTGTGTTTTAAAACGGCTATAACAGACTTACAGACACCATTGTCTATTTTCATCGTTAGGAATGTAGAACATGTCAGAAACACAAGTATAGGTAGCCGTGGCCGGAGTCTGCTCCACTTTACCGTTTTGAATGTCACTCAACTTCGGGCACTCTGAGAAGGACATAATTTAATTAAAATTAACTCTCATTTTATTTCACTTTCACTTTCGTTCGTAATACTTAGGAAGGGGATTTAGGGGGAAACTTTAAAATGATAAAAGAATTATGAACACAGTGGCCACACGAAATAAAACAATCCCTAACTTATAATCCCGAATAAAACATTCCCTTGTGTTAAACATACTAGGGTAGCAAGTAGGTTTCCCATCCGTCATCTCACAGTACTGCTCTTCATCACACTTCCAGGTGTCGCATGTCCGAGGCTCACATGTGGGTTTGGGTGCGTTCCACTCTCCATTATCTTGACATGTTAACATGCTTTTTCCTGGAAATTATCACCAATTAAATAATCAATTACTGGAATTTGAACAGTCAATTCATATTTTTTTACGTGTTTCAATAGATTTATCATGCACACGATTTTAAACCAGCAAGATTGCTGCTAATCATCACGAGATACAACGATATAAATTACCCTTAACGATATAATATTCGTTGCAAACGAAAGTCATAGTGTTTTTAGTGCTCACGAATCTCCCATTCTTGAACATCTCATATTCTTCACAAGAAGTGTAACAAGTTGGTACACTGAGCGCAGACTCTATATCGAGACAAAACTGGGTGTCAAGGCAGGGCCACGTGTCGCACGTGTGAGGGAGACACTGGGGTGGCTCACCCTCCCACTCCCCATTAGGTTTACAGTTCAGGGTTTCAGGTCCATCAATATAGTGGTGTTGGTCGCAGGAGAAGGTGTGGGTTGGTGAGGGAATACTGTCGGGGGTCAGAGAGGGACAACCTGGAATTGGGGAGGAAAAGGGTCAAAATAGTTCGATGATAGTATTTTATTGACACCTTACCAAGTTTATGAATTTCATCTTAACCAGAATGTTAACGAGAATTTCACTGTAATGGCATTCTAAATAAGAGAAAATAAATGAATTAATGACAATGCTTTGAAAAACACAGCACAAATAAACAGATAACAGAGTAAAGTTAACAGTAGAGTGATTAAGAGTTATAGACCAGGGAAGCAAGCAGGCATTCCATCCTGACCAGTCAGGCAATACTGGTCCACCTCACAATCCCAACTGGCACAATCGTGTGGAACACAAGAAGGAGGATCACTGTTCCATGATCCTTCTTTGCTACATTTCAACGTACTGACCCCTTCCATGTTGTACTGCTCTGATTCACATGCGTACCTGGGAGTTAAGTTTCACTTTCACTTTCACTTTCAATCAGTAGAGTTTAAATTCAGTAAAGTCAAAATAAAACGGCTGGTGACTTACTGAGAGTAAGAAGGCCCGTATTGAACTGTCGCATGAGGAACTGAGGGAGGTACCGGGCAAGCTGAATGAGATGTGTTTAGCTGGTAAAAATTAAAAAGTTAAACTTGTGAAAGTGAAAAGAATGAACGGACGGTAAAAAACATGAAGCGAACGCTTATATAGATGAAATAATATCAATTTAATAATTCGATAATTGAGAAGCTTTTAGAGCCTTTGTACTATTTCTGACAACTGTTCTTTGATATTTACATGATTAAGTAACTAATAATTCAGTAAATTATCTAATACCTGGCCAGCAGCTAAATGAGTCATCCTGCAAAACACAGTAAGTATCATCCGGACATGTCCACGTTTCGCAGGTGTGTTGCACACAAGCAGGGAATTCTTCCTCCCACTCCAGGTTTGAGTTACACGTGATAGTGTTCGAACCTGTGAGACATTTCCACTTTCACTTTCAATTTTACTTTCACTTTCACTTTCACTTTCACTTTCACTTTCACTTTCACTGTGATTTCAATTGTAATTTATGTTTCAACGTCTCCAGACCATGGCTTTGCTCTATACTTCTATATAATAACATGAATGACATATTATGAACAAATTCAACTTTAACAATTTATTGTAAAATAAAGCGAATAAACAGTCATACCTTCTAAATAGTAGTACTGGTTACATTCGAACGTAGCTATCTGTTTGTTAATGGTGACTATCCCATCAGTTAGAAGAGGAGTACTGCAAGCTGTAAATAGAGGAAACAATTATATATTAGTAATTATATATTTAATGGGTCGTGAGTAGTGATAAGGATACGATAGTAGGGTTATCACATTACAAATTATAAAGATAACAAGTAACAGGGGATTATCGTGGAGAAGGGTTATAAAGTGACAATATTGGGGGGAACTCTGAGGATAATCACAGGTCACGTGGTCATGAGCCAGTGAGCGGACAGTAATTATTATCAAATGTTGAAAAACGGCTAAAGGGCTATTATAATATATTCTCTTTAAAAAACAAAAAATAAAACATTTACTAACGTCCTTTGCAGGTGGGTGTGTCTAGGATCATCTCACACCACTGATCGCCTAAACAGTTGGTCCAAGTGTAGCAAGTGTGAGCTATACAGCGGAACTCGTTAGGTCTGACTAGATCACCGGGGGGAGTGTGCCAGGAACCCTCACCGTGCACTCTACATTCCACCAACGGGTGTCCTGGAGTAATTTGTAGTAATTATTAGTAATTAGTAGTAATTAGGAGTAATTAGGAGTAATTAAGAGTAATTAGGAGTTGATGAACTATTTAATAAATAGCTTATTCGGGGTGATAGAGTATGTAGTTACTATAGTAGAATCTGGATAGGGTATCTGATAAAATACTTGATTTTCACAGCCGTCAAAATATTTATTTTTTAAAGTAAAGTAACTGTTATTAAATAGCAAGCAGCTTCTAACCAGCAGATAACTTAAATTAATATATTTATTAATTAGTCGGAAAACTCATATATTAGTTAATTAGTGCAATTAGCTTGACGTACCCTGCAAGTAGTAATATCCGGAATCGCACCAGAATGAGGCGTTGCTAGGATACGAGTAGATTGACAGCTTTTGGACTATATGTGGCTTTGGACTTGGTTCAAGACAACCTGATACAATCTTTATCAAAAATTGTGCGATCATATCTTGGGTTATGCTGTCAACTGGCTTGGAAAGATGGCATTGGACGATGCACCAAAGCCCGCAAATATTACTGTTTCGGTTATCAGTTATGCTAAAAAATTAGATTACTATTTGAATTGATTCGAATGGACTTATGTTAGAACATAGTCAAGTGAAAGTGAAAGTGAAAGTGAAAGTGAAAGTGAATGAAGAACACAACTAACCATACCCGCAGGTAGGAAACCCAGCGCTACTAACATAGCAGAAAGTCCTGTTAAGCTTCTTATAGTCCATAGCTTCAACTGTCTGTTCACACTTGAAAGTGTCACACGTGTGTGGTGCGCAGCGCGGCTCTTCCGGCAAGTCCCACGTTCCGTCCGACTGACATGCGATACTTGCCCAGGATTTACCTTTAGATGTGAAATACACGATTTACAACATAAAAAGGTGGGTCACATTTTACTTTATTTGCAAAAATTAGAGAAGTTGATTCTAAGAAGAAGAAAGAAAATAACAAAATATTAACAATACACTCAACATAGCTATGAACTAAGGTTGAGTTGTAGACTGGAGTTTATAAATTGAAACAGATAGTGAAAGTGAAAGTGAAAGTGAAATTCCCACCAACCTCTTATCTCCTCCTTGTGGTAATGGGTCGCGTAATAGAATTCATCGCATGTTAAGTTGGCGTAAGTCTGAAAGCTTTTAATGGTACCGTGTTCTACCGTTCCCAGATCCGGACAAACTGAGATTGTTTACGGTGATTTGAATGAAAGTCGAGTGAAACTGATAGTGCAAGTAAAAGCGATCTATCGAGATTAATAGAAAAGAGTAATTAAGAGTAAGTACTCATTTTTCCAGATTGATAGATTTTAATGATTTAGTTCGACACAATTCAATGTGAGGGATTATTGAACATTTTTCTGTGTTGAGTTTTGACCCGAACTCCACAGTGCTACAGTGCGTAAACTGATTTAAATTAAAGACTACAACAGGAAAACAGTTTGTTTAACACCCGTCATGTCATAATAGCTTTACCTCTGTGTACAATTCTAAACCAATAAGATTAGACAAAAACCGGACGAAAAGCTCCAGATTGGATTAGCATTCCCTGAAGTTTGCCCCAAACTTGATTTAAATGAAGTGGTAGCTGCTGCACCATTGCGCTTTTACTTTTTTAAAGAAAACACTGTCCCAACCGTGCTCAATGTTGTGCTTTTATATTGCTCAATATGAGCTTTTACAGCTTTCATTTAGCTGAATTTTCACTTCAACATATTAAGTGCTTTGTAACCATTTTAGGGACAATCAAAATAATATGTTAACGGTCACGGAAGTTTATCATAGCTCTAGCTCTGTTGACCACAGCTGTGGTGCACAGCTTGATAAAAATAGATAGAATCAATTAACCTCGGAGAATTATTACTATTCCGGCAATAAAATAGCGATTTGGCATGGTTTTTAAATTTACGCAGCTACTTTGTCAGTGCTTATAATACTATTTACAATATCAATAAATAACTATAGTACATTTCCTTGTTTATCTTAGTAGTAGTAGTAACACATATAATTACGATAAAAGCGCAGCTATTACTCATTTCTACCGCATATATTTGCTAGATACTTTGATACTCTGCGGAGTGAGGATCACCCAAAATATATTATATGTACGTGCAATGGCAATGTACTTACCAATATCTTGAAGTTTATTGATTTATCTTGAAGTTTATTGCAAAAAACTGCAATAAACTGTAAAACTATTAACTATTCACTGAAATGAAACAATTCTAAAATAAAATATCATGTAGTTTATGGAAGCACAGTTCATCAATAAATCAATAAACTTTAACATTCTAAAGATATTGGTAAGTGAAGTGTCAATGCACCTTCATATAAATGCCCCACAACATCAATTCCTTGTTGTAGTCACCTTATTTTCTGCTCAATAGTTTTCCGTTAAGTTTGATAGATAATCTTACTTAATTGCACCAATATTTACCTTTCTAGCATAATAACCTAAAATATTCAACTTTCAGTATGAAGTTTTTGGCAGTCTGCTTCCTTTTGGCGGCAATGGCGACGATCACCGCCAAGAAAGCCAAGAAAGCCAAGAAACCAGGGCCAGGTTTCACAGCATTCGGTGATATGATGAAGAGTGTTAAGATGGATTGGAATGCTGGTATAACTGAGATGTTGGATGATAACACTGACAGTGGACTACCCCAAGAAGCTGAAGAGATGCTAATGCAACTCAAACAGGTAACTCATTATTTATGATTTGATTTTTACTACTCCCAGTATAACTTCCATTTCAAAAGTTTCAGTTATATCAGTTTGCAGTTCGAAACTTTGTTTCTACTCTATTTTATCACCAAAGGATAACTAAAAATCCCGAATTGTAGGACACATTATTATTATTAAGCTTAAAGAACTCAGATAAGGCACCTGAAACTTCTCGTTAAATTCAAGTCAAGTGAGAGTGAATAAACTCAACTTTTTTAAATTTCAGAGTGTTTGTTTCGAGCCGGAGGACACATGTGAATCAGACCAGTTCTTTGGCTGTAACTGTATCTCAGCGTTCCAGAACCTTGGTCCACAGTGCTCCCAAATCCCCTGCAACATCGTTACCTTCCTCCTGGAAGAAATGTCCAGTTTCCTCAAAGACTTCAGGGACAACGTGAACAGCCAGGAGGACTACATGGAGCTGGTGATGGAACGAGTCTACATTCCCATGATGGACATGGCTTGTGAGTGCAGTGAGGGGCTAGCTAACGCCACCTTCAGCTGCATCAGGAACTACGACGCGGAGGTAGTTCAGCAGATTGGGCAGGGAACGTACCAGATGGTGGTGGGAATGTTGGACCTGGAGTCTATGGAGAAGGTGATGGTGGGCGCTCTGGCCATGCACTGTAATGAAGTAGGAGGTGAAGCGTGCTATCAGGACTTTGCTGATCAGGTAAGAACACACGCCAAGATGATGGACAAGACCATGAAAGGGGCTAAAAGCAATGATTGCAGTGCCTTTAGTAGAGTTGACAAGGAGATGAAAGCATTCGCTAAGGAGTTGAACAAGGATAAGCCAGATATGAGCGCAGTAATTCGCAGCTACTCCAAGATGAACAAGAAAGGAATGTGCTCAAAGAAGTGTTCGAACGAGATAGCGGATACATTCTACTCGTGTTGCAGTGTGGAAGCGCTTGACTTGGCAAAGGAACACAAAGTAGGAAAGAATATTGGCAACATCATGGAAAACGTTTGGGGTCTGCTCTCCACATTCTCCCAGGAAATGGGCGATGCACCGATCACCAAGGAGGATCTCCGTGTGTACATGGCTACATACGACCCTGAGATGATGTGCGGAAAGAAGAAGGGAAGTGTGTTCAAGAAGCAGAGGGACGAATGTGAGGAGGAGAAGGAAGAGTATAGGTATGGAATGTAAAGGGACTAGAATAGCTGTTTAATGAACTGTGGATGTTGAAACAAACCGTGAAATTTCGATTCTATTTATATATTACGATCTGTGTATCATGTATATTTCTTCAGCATTGTGAAAAAAATGTATGTCATATATTTATCGGTGTGTTTCACATCACAATGTAAAAGACACCCATTTTTCCCCTGAAAGAAAATGGTTTACCAAGTTGAAGGACGAGAATCTAGAAATAAAGTCAAATAATTTCTAACCCGGGTGGCAGTAAAGATATTTTCCTGTGTCGACACAGAACTCGTCCTCAACACATGGCCAGGTACTGCACGTGTGTCTTGTGCACGTGGGCGCGGCCTGGTCCCACCTCATCTTATCTGTATTTAGAACACATGTGTTACTTTTACTTCTGTGCACGTGCCAAATCACAAATGTGGTGATTTGAGGTATTCAAAGTTCTATTCATAAAGAAACCTTCGATAAACGGAAAATCATCGGAATATAAAAAGAGATTTTGGAAGATTTTTTAAGAAGAGCTTTTCTGCCGTCCCCTTGACCGAAATTTCGCGGTTTTGACTGAAATTTGTACCAGTTACCAATCAGTGAGGTCGGCGAGCGTGACACAAGTCGCCATCAAGGTACTGGAAGCAGTATATCCGGAGAAAACTTTGACGCAATGAAAATTTTGAATATGTCCTACCAGTAGGACATATTCGAATTTCAGCCTTCCGCGGCCCAAATTTCGCTGTTTTTACTGAATTTTACTTGAATGACCAAAACAAAAGATTAGCAATTCATACCGTTTTTGCCAGTGACACAGTTGAGGGAGGTAGACCCAGTCAAGTAGTAGTATTTGTTACAAGTTATTTCTGCGGAGTACCTTGACAGGGTGGAGGAGCCATTTGGGACATCTGGTGGTGGACACACTGAAAATAATTAATATTACCACATATTATTACCATTTACCACATATTACCACATCGTGATCGTGTTTGTTTTTCCAGCCCCTGATCGATCACTGCATTAGATAAAATAGCACAATAACATGTGATATTTAACTATTTCTTGATGTTTGATCTCACAGCGAATCATCATATTATTCATAAATTTCTCATTCCTCTAGCTCTGTAAATAATAATTAAGACAGAACAAGGTTTCATGCCAAATGACATCATTGGATGTGTTCTATAAATTCCCCTGGAAATTACAAAACTACTTGATTCCATCTACTTTGAGGACGTTACCCGGAGAGGTGGCTGAACTCAGCCAGACTGAACACTATTAACTCACTCTTTAAGTAGCCCTTATAATCTGTTGAAAATTCGGCTCGTCATTTTACAAATTACATGAGGTCGTTATGGTATCATTGAAATTGGTTTTAAAATGTTTTCTGAAACAGAAGAATAGGAATAACCCTGGCTGTCCGCTGTGGCCCGCATAAACAACACCTCACTGACCTTCCATCTGCCACCTATCAAACAATCTCTAGGATTTCATAGCTGAAGATGGAAAATAAACGAATCTCTAATGAAGTAACATTAAAACGTTCGAGAATTTTCCTTTGTCGGGTGAGTAAATTGGATTTACTCCGTGCTAACTACATTACAGTATAAATAATTCTGCTTCTCAAGTAACACTCAGCTTTCACACGTACAGTTTCTACCACACGTACAGTCTCTACCTCCGTACGTTATTTTGTTTTCTTTACCATTTTGTGTACCACTGACTAGCACTCCAGGCCCGTCACAACCAAAAACAATGTCTGCTCTCTACCCGACAGCATATGGTTGTAAAGAAACCAACAAACGCCCGACTTCTACAACAATGATCTTGCAACCAACTGAAAACCAGCGGAACATCTCGCCACTTAAAATCTTCAATCCTCAATCTCGAGATGTAGCGGTGATAAAATCAAAGAAACAGGTTAGTGATATTGAATACTTTTCGCCATTACATAGCCGAAATTCTAGATATTATCTCCATCAAATATGATGGTTAAAAAATCATAGAGTCATAGTGAAATTCTCGCCATTTTCGGCATTCTTGCTACCGAAATTATGGCCAAATTCTCGCCAATCTTGCCATCAATGACAATATAGTGACAAACATCAAGGCGAAATTGTCGTAATTTCTAATTTCTAAGATAAGTCTTTATTCTTTTATTCCAGGGAACAAGGCTGTCGGAAAAAGAGCCAGGCTACATCTGGATTCAGTCACCGCAAAACAGGAAGTGAAATCTGTACTAGTCCACTTCAAAGTTGAGGTTCCGAGTTTTAGATCGGGATGTGCAAGAAGAGAGCATCACAATAACAACGTAGATTTAAAGGTATTATATTAACCCAACACATGGACCCCACTAGATGGACCCCACATGGACCCCACATGGACCCCACATGGACCCCACATGAACACCACATGGACCCCACATGGACCCCACATAGACCCCACATGGACCCCACATGGACCCCACATGAACCCCACATGGCCCCCACATGGACCCCACATGGACCCCACATAGACCCCACATGGACCCCACATAGACCCCACATGGACCCCATATGGACCCCACATAGACCACACATAGACCCCACATAGACCCCACATGGACCCCACATGGACCCCACATGGACCCCACATGGACATTGAACTTGCTCGAAGTACAATAAAATTACAATATAAAATGACACAATGTTTTCTTAAGATTTTAAAAGTGAACTGTCGTTAGGGGGGGGGGGGGGGGGGGTCCAACTACATTTTTGTACAATAATTTAGCGTACATTTGGCAAAAATCTGATGGCCATGTACAGGGTGGGCCAAAAGTCAGTGGGCATACGTTGGCCTTAATAGCTCAGTCACAGAAAGAATTGTAACAATTCTTTCTGGTATGACTTACTACTACCACTGGTTCGAGGAATTTGTCAAATCGATAAATATTCGAGTTAATTTGTTTCAAATGAAGGTTCATTTTTGCATTTATTTGATAGTTTAGATAGTCGAATCGAGCTAAATTTTATTGAATTGTGTTTGGCCATTCGAATTACGTTTGTCCTGAAAAAATTAGAACTGTAGCTTCTCAGATAACAGAGATATGAAGCATAACGAGTTTATTCATTACGTGTGATCAGGTGATTGGTTTACCTAATCACGTTATTAGGTGACCAGGAGGTGACCGGGACATGATTTCAGGCCTGACCGGGACAGGGATACAAAATGTGACTTGACCGGGACCGGGACCGGGACTGAGATTATCAATTTACCGGGACCGGGACCGGGACCGGGACCAATAATTTCTATCTTACCGGGACCGTGACCGGGACCGGGACCAACAATCCAATTTTACCGGGATGACCGGGATGACCGGGATTTGACCGGGATGACCGGGATGACCGGGACCAAAACTGGTATTCTCATATTGAAAGCTGCAACTTTCATTTACATTATAATTGAACAATTTGAATAAGTAATAACTAGAATATTAAATTAGAAAAAACTAGAAAAAACCCGTCAATATGGGGCATGGGTCTAATGTACTACACCAATAATGTTCATGTACTGATTACTCAAGTTCACCCTCATTCCTCATACCTCAATCAATGATCCCTCAAATTATTCAACAGTTTCATTGTCCAATTCCAATTGACAATTGGGCTTAGCCCGAGTTGACAACTTGATGTTACTTTGCACTTATGAGTTATGTAACGATATTAGTTTATTTGGCTCAGAGGTTGTTTAAAGATGAAATTCACAATGAATGAAAGTAAAAACTTAAAATCACAGTGAATGAAATTATGTAAAAGATCGCGGTCAAAATTCCGGCAAATTTGAGTGATTGACCGGGACCGGGACCGGGACCGGACCAAGAATCCTGAATTAACCGGGACCGGGACCGGGATCATAAATCAGCATTTGACCGGGACCGGGATGAAAAATGTGACTTGACCGGGACCGGGACCGGGACCGGGACCAGGATAGCTCAAAATTGCCAATCCCGGTCACTTCCTGTAGGTGACCCCGTTAACCACTCCGTTAAACATTATGGGAATTGTTAAGGGTGCCCAATTAAGGTGTCGTTTCAAGGTGTCATATAATCACCCAGTCAATGTTGTTAACGAGATACAGAAAATGCCTGATAACATCGTCCTATCTAATCCGTTTTTGCCTCATGTGTTTCAGATCAAATGCAACATTCAATAATCTACCGTCTCTGAAAAAATAGGCGTTCAGCATGTTCAGAGAAAACAATATAGGGTTTTAAAATCGAATGGGTGTGGCTAATATATTCGGAATTTTCCAAATTTAGACGACGGAATCCTCGAACAGTAAGTACAGTTGCCATAGCAAAAGCAACAGTCTCAAATGTAAAACACGGGAGCTTTTAGGGCAACGTATGCCCACGGACTTTGGGGCCCACCTTGTACATTAATGGTCATAAAAAAATGAACAACAAAATCGGAAATCCCTGAAACGGAACAGGAAAAACGGAAAAAACATATTTTGTAATCATTTATGTATATATGTACATTTGGCAAAAATTGGTTGCAAACAGGAAAAAACATATTTTGTATATTTTTGTACATTTTTGTACATGTACATTTGGCCAATCTGGTGGCCAAACAGGAAAAAAATATTTTGTACATTTTTGTACATTATTAGTACATGTACATTTGGCAAAAATCTGGTGGCCATGTACAAAAATGTTTTTTAGGGGGTTTTTTGGACCCCCCCCCCCTGTCGTTACATAACTGCATGATTTAAGAATATCTTAGTGATGCTGCTTTGATGTTTGAGTCCCTTTTAGCTTCATTTACTTTTAAATCTCCCTATTTTCTTTGTGGTAACAAATTCATTCTTTCATTGAAATACTTAATCGAATAGTTGACATATTTACAAACTATGCTTAACTTAACGACGTTTTAAATAAAACTATATCAGTCAAGATTCTCAATAATTCATTGTGGTACCAGTTTCCAAAAAAGGTTTAAAGTAATTAAATTTTCGATCGGTTTTACGATCATTTGGAACAGGAGAAAACAAAATAGTGTTGGTTTGCCTGGGTCTCACGCACAGATTAAAATGATCGTGATATTTCTTTTGTGTCCCGTCATCAGAAATGATATGTTCCATCTGAATTGTGAAATATCATAAATCTTATAATAACAATTATCCTCTTTTCATATAACCACAATTACCCAACAACGCGTTCGCTTGTTTTATTTTATACAAAGCGTCTCCCCTTACCTAGCGATAATGTTGATCAGGAGGAACATAAATATCTAAATGTTTCTGGTATGTTAGCAGCACACTGTACGTTCAGCTTGCTCTATTCCTCAGAAATGCTGTTCTCCGTTCTATTCGAAATTACAAATCTAATCCAAATTTAACACGTACGTTAACTGTCAATCTTAGAGTATCATCTTGTTCGACTCCATACTTTGTTGAAGAGAAAATAAAAGACAATTTCTTTATTTATTGAGCATCCAGACTTTCATCAAAAAGTCACCATGAGCCGGACAATGTTATCAGCCACACAATTCCAGTTAACAATAACTAAAATTCCAGCTAAATTGATTATACGGCCAGTGGAAATTGCGGAGGCAGACAAGAACCAACCTGACTTGAAGCAGCAGGAACCTTGACACATTGAGCGAAACCACATGACAATACCGGTACTCGATACAAGGCCATGCTTCTGCTCCTTCGCAGGTGCGTAATTCACATTTGGGTAGTGTCCCCTTCCAATCACCATCTTCTAGACACTGCACAGTCTCTTGCTCTGAAAGAATTTGGTTTTTATTCCACAACTGCATGACGTCAAACAATTGGAAAATGATATAAATGATTGTAAATTGAGTTGCTTTTGAACTATGACAGACACCTCAGCTCACTTCATTTATAATCATTTACAGCCGGGCTATGACAGGGGATGTAGCCTGTATTTAAAGAGGCTCTATAAGGTATAACCTGCAGAGTCTGTGGAAAATGATGTGACCTCTAGAGTCTAGTTTGAGTAGGGCGTGGCAGCATCTCAAAGAATTTTCACAATTATGCTGAGCTCAGATAACCTACTCCAAAGCATGAGTCGTGTAATGACGATTTAATGCGGTGTCATGTGCTGGTTGGGTAATTAATCTAGGCTCTAACAGAGCTGCTGACTAGATAGAATGCCAGTGAGTACGAGAAGAACCTATAGAGTTGATCAGCCGATCCACAGATGAGGGGGGGGGGGGGGGGGCTCGATCCTTTCACGTAAATGAACTGAGTTGCGATTCTTGGGTAAAATTATTCTAATCCCGGTTGATGCGACAAGTAAAAAATGCTCTTTTTCAATACAACAATGCGACTCATAAACAAAACTCAATCCGGATTTTACATGTACTGAGTAGGCAGCTTAATGAGTCTTTGGAAACCAATTAGTGCCATTACTGGACATAGCTTAGTTTAATATTAGAATTAGAATTATAATTTGAATTTACACGCAAATACAATAAGAATAAAAAATAATTTAGAAGCTTCAATCTGCTGTGCAGGGCCATTGAAGTCAGTCCGAAAACTGTTAGCAGAACACCCTTCTAGGGACATAAGGATATAACATGTAAAAACATATTAAGTAATAAATTAATGTAGTGATAAAATCAGATATATAGAATTAATGGGCCAAAAACAAGTTCCTGGAGGATTTTAAACCCAGCATTATTCATATACCAAGACATTTATGCCTCTTGATTTATGCTATGTAGTAGTTCGAATGAGCAGAAAAATGTAAAGTTAAAATCTAGAAAGGAAATTTTTTGAGAAAATACAAAGTTTCACATTTTATTATCACCAATCAATCATTTTTTAGCACTAAATATTATAAATCACATAACCCCGGCATGCGCAGGGATTATAATTCAATTTTTCCCGCGCGCGGGGAAAAGATTTTTATAATATTTCGAGTGCGAAGCCGAGGGAATATTATGAAAATAACCCGAGTGCTTTAGCACGAGGGGTTATTTTAATATAACTTAACCGGCGGTGTTGTGTGTTATAAAAACCCCTCCGGGTTAGTGATAGGCACCAACAAATTTGACATTTTAATCTAAATATAGCTTATGAGATCATTATGGAAAATATGAAATGAATTGGGGACTACCAAAAATATACAATAAGGTTACTATGACTTATGAAATTGGCGTTATATCTAAAAACCTTATTCTCAGTCAGAACGTTTTGAATGAATATGAAATATCGATTACGGGGCGTCGAGTTAAGCCCTGGCAAGCGATTGAAAGCTAATAACTGATATCGGTGTCTTGAGAAGTTTATCAAAAGTCGACGATATAATAATGGCTATATCAAACCGGACAAAATATAAACCGACGGACAAAAATCAAATGTAACCGTCGAGACCAAGTTTGGGAAACTGGTTCCAATTAATGTAAGAGTTTAAGTAATGTAAGCAGAGTGCTGGAGTTTTCGCCAGCCCCTGCAATTAGGACGATAACGTAGATCGAGTGTATTTATAGTTCTTAGTTAAGCCATAGGTCACGTGACATTTGTTACCAATTGCGCGTCGTAGTAGTTGTCACGTGATACACGTCATCAAAACACGTGAAGTACGCGGTTTTGAAATTCTCATGGAATGTCAAAACAAAACAAATCTTGTTGAGCCAAAATTAGCGGGGCGGGATTATAAAAGCTGTGCCTGGGTATTTATACAGCGGGAAAAAATCTAACAGCGGGAGCCGGGATTATAGAATTATTTAGCGGCGAGCCGGGATTTCAGAATCTTATTCTATTCCGGAGGGGTCTTTAATTATTATATTAACCAAAGTCCCAGTTGGTAAAATTTGTATGGGACATCCTGTACCTTGCAACTATTATAGATGGCACATCAGCTTAATTATGCAGTTATACTCCCTAGCATTATCTCGTTTTAGAACATCCCTAGTGTTGGGATAGGCTACCAAGTCTAGCCTTGAAGATTCTACAAATTTACTGTTTACATCTAGCCTGGTCTAGAATCTTCCCTTCCAACACTTTGTACAAAAAAAAAAATACTGAATGGTAGATGGATCAAAATCCCTTCCACCGAGTTTATTGATATTGAGTTTGAAAGATTTACTGTGTATACTACCTGCAGGTACTAAGTAGTAATAATTATCCACAGGAGAATGTAGCGCTGGTTTCAGTTATCATAACTGTTCCATTTTCAAGTTATAGTTGATAGTGGGGCACGCTGAAGTAAAAACATTAGTGAACACATTTTTGTTGACTAATCATTTAAAATTCAGTGATAATATGATTTCAGAAGCGTTATGCACTCATTGATGATGATACTGACGCTGAACAAAAATTTCAATTTTGTCAGTACCTTTTGGGCAGCAAAATGAATGAGGTTACACAGGAACACAAGCGTGGTCATTATCAGCTATTAGATTTGCTTCAGACATGTGTTTATGTTAATGTTGGTATTATATATAATAATTATATATTATTAGTCAGCCACACTATCAGTTAAAACAATGCCGTGACTTCAAAATGTCGGTAAAATGTACCTTTACAGTCATCCTCAACTTATTTGTTATAAAGTAGTGTTGAAAGTAATAAAACTATATATTATTACTCATCCATTCCGGTGGTCGACGGGATCAAGAGACAGGGAGTCGGTCTCAGTCTTTCAAAAGAATCAGAAACTCCCTGATATCGTTCACTCCCCACCTCGGAGCGGGTTTTTTTACTGCTAGGCTCATAGTAAGCAAATCAACATCTCTGTTGTTGTGGCCTATGCTCCAACTGCGGGTGCAGAGGAGAGTGAGAAAGATAAGTTTTATAGGGACACTCACAGATACATTTGATGGCTACCTCGTCACGATATCAAGTTACTGCTCGTCGTTTTTAATGCAAAGAACATCAGGCAGATATGGACTGAAGCGGTCATCGGTGGGAATCACTCCATTAGCTCATCAAATGACAAGGGACAAGACTTGTGGATTTTCTGTTGCGATGTGAACCAGCTTGTCATCGGGGGAACTCTCTTCGAGCACAAGAAACATTCACAACGGGAACATGGCGGGGGTCCAACGGGCATCACGGTCAATCAGACTAGATATATCTGCATTGGGAAAGCGGTTTCGACAGTCACTTTTTGTTGTTAGGGTAAGTCGCGGGGCAGACATCGGTTTCCCGATCATTATCTGGTTTAGGACTGCTGAAAATCAAACTTCAGTCAGTGACAACGATCAAACGCCACCAGGCCAATGTTGCCTGCCATTGAGCGCCTGGGGAAGTACTACGGTACAGAGTTACAATGGTGGCTCTTCAAAATCGAATTTGCAAGTCTGGCTAGTGAGGTCAACCTCGAGGATATGTGGGTAAATCAGACAGGACCGTCACTGATGTTCTCATAGAGGGTACTAGGCAAACGACCCCGGAAGGCAAAGCAGCAACACACCGGTCACGGAAAAGACCAAAGGATTTATTGATTACGCGGGCACCAGTTTAAGCGCAACGACCCAAAACTCGGACGCTAACAGGTCAAGGAGTATTCTAAACTTAATAAGTTAGTCAAGAAAGCAGCAAGCTAGACGACAATAACTGGGGCAGTTAGAGTAGCAACTGATCTTGAGAAGCAGCGAGCAAAGGTCAGCAGCGTGACGTTATGGGCAAAGAATCAGAAGATCTCTGGTAAGAACAAGAAGCCTCCAAGCATCTTGTGTCCGGGACAGGACGGTAGGAAGATCACGGATCCCCCAACAGCAGAGGGATAGGTGGAAGGAGCACTTTACTGACTTCTGACTGAACCCTCCATTATCAAGGTCGACCTTGAGGACTTGATACAGTACCACCCAACCCCGCTTTAACTCTCTCTCTTGGTTCGGATGGACACCACCAGAGACGAGATTAGTTATTCCCTGACAAAGCTTACGAACAACAAAAGCCCAGGAGTGGACGGATAAACTAACGAGCAACTGAAGTATGGTGCGAGTACTCTTGTTGACCAATTAGAGTGTCTATTCAAGAAAGTTGGGAAGAGAGACTGTTCCTGAAGTATTGGTTAAGGGTGTGATCCATTGTTATTGGGAGAAAGGAGAACTTCAGTCTGCGGGACAAACAGTGGGTCACCTTAAGGTCTACAGCATCCAAGCTTTTTCAGCCATATGATTCTTCTTACGCGGTCTACAAGCTGGGTATGGGTGTCTTCTCAGGGCTGAATCAGTGCGGATTTAGGCGAAACCGCTCATGTATTGCATCAGATTTATTCTCTCCGAACTATTATTCATAACTGTTCTTGAGTTTAACAATTCTCTTTACCATTAATTTTGTCGAATTTCAAGGCAGGTTTGATTCTATCAGAAGGGACTTTTATTTTGGTGCAGTATGAGAAACCTATGGGCTGCCTGAAAAATATGTCAGAATATTACAGTCATTTTTGGGGGTACCATGAGTGCCGTGAGGGTTAATGGGGAGCTGACAGGACTGGTTTGATGTTAACTCAGGCACAGGTCAGGGTGACATTCAAGCACTCTGTCTTTACTTTCTGCCTAAAATTTTCTGCATTTCTGGCTGAGACCAACAAGATCATCGTCCAGGCGCAGTGCTGCAGAAAGGAGATGAAGACGGTCGAGGAAAAGGTCATTTGGAACACCGATTGTGCGAGACATGGCATATTATGGACACTCAGGGGAAGGCCTACAGGAGTAAACCAGATCTATTAGTTCATTGGCAGCTCCGACGCTGGGCTGTCAGAATTAAATGCAAAGAAGACCAATGCATGGCTGTAAGC